GCTCTGCCCAGGGAAGGCACCCAGGGTGCACAGTGTGGTGGGGGTACTCCTAGAAGCTGGCTGGCAGACCAAGGGGCCAGTGCCAGCGTCATCACCTGCAGCGCACACCATCTTCTTGGGACAGGCGGGCACAGCAGCAGACCCTGGCCCCACCCAGGGCAGCCCCACAGACCCAGGTCTCTGACTCCCAGCCCAGGAGCAGGGATTCCTACCACAGTCCCTCACTCTGAGCCGCCCGTGCGGTTATTCCAAGCTGGGCCAGCTGCGCCCTCTTCTGGTCATGAGGTGTCACAGTTAGTTGGCTGCTCACAGTTTTCCCCTCCATGGGGGCAGAAACATATCCCAACATCCACATCTACTCCAAAAGGCTAAAAATCAGTGCCTCCACTCAGGTGACCTCTGCTCAAAAACTAACATGGGGATGCTTCTGTTTAGGAAGTCTCAATTTCCCAGGCAAAAGTGACCCCAGCTGCCTCCCTGCCAGCAGGGCCCAGGGAACACTTGACAATACCGGACGGAAGCCAGTCCCACACGGCTCCAGATCTGCTCCTCACCATCAGGACAGAGGGCTCTGGAGGTGAGCAGGCAGGTGGGCATCCACCAGGACACACCTGCCGCCCCACATCTCTCCAGGAGGCAGTGCCCTGAGTGGAGGGCACACCACCCATCTCTGCCTATAACTAACCTCTCCTCCAGCCTGTGCTGCCGTCGGCCTGCCTGCCCCCTCCCTCCCTCTGGGTACCACCCCTCAGCCAGGACTACATTCCACAAAGCCCCTGCCACATGCCAGCACCCAGACTGGGCGCCTTGGACGCCACCATTCACTCCAACTCCAGCCCATCCGCTGCTTCATGGCGCTGCCCCAAGAGGTGAGGCTGCACTCACCCCTACAACAAGAGACGAGGGCAGGAGGCCCTGGGCCCAGCTCCCAGGGCCCACAGGCAGCAGCCGGGAGCAGCACATTCAAACAGCGGACAATCATGAGGACACCCAGAGGTGAGAGGCTGGACACGAGGACACCCTGCCAACCTGCCAAATTCCCAAGCAGGGGGATCTGTGCGTCTGGATCACTGCTATTTCTCCAGCCCCTGAAACGGGACATTGCACAAAGCTAGAGCCCACTAAACACGTATTCACCGGACCCAATGGGGAGCTTTTCAGAGAAGATGACTTTCCAGGCTGGGCATTGGCTGTGGAGCAGGTACCTAACAGGCAGGAAAGCAAAGGGAGGGGACCCTCGAGAGGGCGGGGCATGAGAGAAGCATGGAGAAAAGAAGGTTCCCCCCTCAACAGGAAGGCGAGTGCCTGGAGGACAAGGGCCAGCCAGACACTGCCCAGGCCCACCAGCAACCCTCCGGCGGGTTCCCCACTCTCCAGCCCCTGCAGCACAGACGGGAAAGAGAGCAGAGAAGCCCCAGGGCCACAGGGTCGATGCCAGCACACTGTGACCCACACCAGGGATGCCAGAAGCCGCCAAACACACTTCACAGTACCCAGTGTTGCAGGAAAAGCACCAAAGACCTGAGTGAAAATCCCAGAATGCCAGGCTGAAGACAGAATGCAACTTTCTTTCCCCCAGGACTCTATGAGTCTTGCCAGAAAAGAGCACAGACAAGCCACTTCGTGACTACAATTTGCCATTTAAAAATGACACCCATCAGGTCAGGCACAGTGGCTACCCCTGTAATCTCAGCACTTCGGGAGGCCGAGGCAGGCGGATCACAAGGTCAGGAGTTCGAGACCAGCCTGACCAACCTGGAGAAACCCCATCTCTACTAAATATACAAAAATAAGCCAGGAGTGGTGGCACACACCTGTAATCCCAGCTACTCAGGAGGCTGAGGCAGAATTTCTTGAATCCAGGAGGCAAAGGTTGCAGTGAGCTGAGATCGCACCACTGCACTCCAGCCTGGGCAACAGTTGAGTGAAACTCCATCTCCAAAAAACAACAACAAAAAATGACACCTATCAGTTCAGCTCATTTCAAAGACATCTCTATACTTGAAGCTTCCTTTCTTCACTTTAGAAAATGCTTCCTAGGGAGAAAAGCTCATAACATAATTTGCAAATGAAGTGATCTAGGAAAGTTGGTTCCAGAACTCTGAGGAAGCAAAGGCAAGGGAACCACCATTTACTGAGCCCCTGTGAGGCACCTAGCTCGGTGCAAGGCACTTTTCCAGCGTTTTTCTCATATGAGCACATGACCAGGTATGATTCTGCCCTTTTACAGAGGAGACGCCAGACTCCACAGGAAGGCGGCGGGGCCAGTGCTCGACCAGCTAGCTACTCTGCAGCAAAGCTGATGTGATGCCAAGTCCCTCAAAGGTATTTCCTTCCCAAGGGCTTTTTGTTCAGTTGGCATTTAGTTGGCACCCGCTACATATCAGGTGCTTTGCTAGCTGCGAGGAAAGAGAGGAGGGACGCAGGGCACAGCGAGGAGGGCTGGAGACAGGTCCCAGGCAGAAACAATGGCCCACCACACTGTACCTGCATACTGTGGGGACACATTACTATTACTTCAGTAGCCTGGAAAATAAATAAGACAATGCAAAAAGGAGTTTCCAGGTAAAACCAGAAGTCCCCAGAAGGACATGTGCAACCCTCCCTGACCTTGCTTCCCCGGCCTCCAGTCCCTCACACGCTCGTGCTTGAAGCCACTTCCCAGGCCCTCATGCTTAGAGCCGATGCCTACACAAGGCTCCTGCAGCCAACGCGTCCTCCTGCCCCCATCCCCAAGCAAACCTTCCCCTCCCTCAGGAGGCTTTTGCGGAGCCCTCCTGGGCTAGGCTGGGGCCCCTCCCATTGGGCTCCCATAGCACCTGTGCGTCCTAATGGGGGACCTGTCCTCACGGCCCAGGGTTGCGTTTGTCTACCTGTCAATGGCTCCTGCCACATTGTGCAAGCCTAACACCAGGGGCTGGGTCTATCTGCCTCTCCCAACAGCTCCTGAAACCCGCACAGCACCAGGCACAGAGCTGGCATGGCTCAGTGCTCCACGGAGTCACAGAGGATGTTTCCAGTCCCCAGGGCTTGGTCCTGGGCCTGCTTTTCTTCTCCTACTAATCACTCTCACGGCCTCCGAGAGGGATACGGAGCAGTATCCTCTGGCAACCTGAGCAGAGCAGCATCAGGGAAGGGGTGGGGCAGGAGGGACTCACGACCCTGGGCTGACCACAGATGACCCTTTTTTGGATGCAACAAAGAAAATTACAGAAATCTACACACACACAAAAGTTCACCTGTAACCTCCCTCCGCTTCACTGTTACTCCAGCAGTGTATTCCTAAGACCATCTGAAAGCGGAAGTTTTCACTCAAGTCTTACCTTGAAAGTTTTATCCATGGAAGTGGAGAGAAGCATGTGGCTCTGAGAAAGCACTGGGCACCACTGAATGCTGTTGACAGGGCCCCTGTGGCCTCTCAGGTAGAAAAGCACTTTCTGGGGAACCGTGGTTTCTTTATAATGGCTGTTCAAATACGGCTGAATAAACTCAGACACTCTGGGGGCCACACAAAGAGGGGCTGGGGCCCGCCCTGCAGGGCGCCCCTGTGGCTCTGCCTCGCTAGCCTTGCCTGTTTCTGTGCGTAATGCCGGCAGCTGTCTTAGTCTTTTGGGGGTATAGGGCACGACACCGTCCTCACACTTTTTCTTCTGCAAAGAGCTGCCATTTTTACCTACGGTTTCAGACTCACTTTGAGCACGGAAAGATGACTTGGAAAAGTCCCTGAAGAGTTTTACTTGCTTAAAACGTGCAGCTGCCAGGGGCATGTGGCTGGCTGGAACATGGCTCGTCCACAGAGAAGAACGAGAAGGCTCGTTGGTGCGGAAGGTGACTTGAGGCTCCTTCCCGGGCCACTGTAGCCTCTGGCTAGGGCAAGATCCCCGATCGCTTCTCCCAGGCCAAGCCAGTGGGAGGTGATGGCCGCCTGGGTTCCCACAAGAGCCATGCTTTATGGGCTGTGCCCCTCCTTTGGGCACATCCAGTGTACCAGATGCAAAATCCTGCCCAGGCGGTCTGGCTGCACCAGAAGTGTCTTTCACCTGGCCCATGGCATTCAAACTTCCTGCAGGCTCTGTCTCAGCCTCCGAGTCCGAATCATCATAAGCTACCAACGAAGCCATTAAAGACAGAGTTCTTGCTGTCCTTCAAAGCCAAAGCACCTAAGATCAAACAAAGTCAAGCGTCAGAAAATGTGCATGGAATAATATGTGTGTAGTTATAAGAAAACATATCATCTAGGAAATCCAACAATTCAACACTCACAAAAATAAACACAGGCTGGCCAAGCACAGTGGCTTACACCTGTAATCTCAGTACTTTGGGAGGCCAAGGTGGGCGGATCACGAGGTCAGGAGTACAAGTCCAGCCCGACCAACATGGTGAAACCCAACTCTCTACTAAAAATGCAAAACTTTGCTGGGTGTGGTGGCGTGTCCTGTAATCCCAGCTACTCAGGAGGCTGAGGCAGGAGAATGGCTTGATCCCAGGAGTTGGAGGCTGTGATGACCCAAGACTCCACCACTGCACTCCAGCCTTGGCGACAAAGCAAGACTCCATTGTCTTTAAAAAATAAAATAAAATAAACACAGGCTGGACACGGTGGCTCACACCTGTAATCCCAGCACTTAGAGAGGCCCAGGCAGGCAGATCACCTGAGGTCAGGAGTTCAGGACCAGCCCGGCCAACATGATGAAACCCCATCTCTACTAAAAATACAAAAATGAGCTGGGCGGTGTGGCAGGCACCTGCAGTCCCAGCAACTCGGGAGCCTAAGACAGGAGAATCATTTGAACCTGGGAGGTGGAGGTTACAGTGAGCCAAGATCACGCCACTGCACTCCAGCCTGGGCGACAAGAGCAAGACTCCATCTCAAAAACAAAAAAAGAAGAGGCTGGGCTATGCCACGCCCCTCCTCGTGTGAGCAGCCGCTGCAGCAGAGGCAGCATCCAGCAGCATTGCCAGCTGGTTGCTTTACTTTTTGCTTCACCAACATAGTCATTATGCTGAAGAGAAAGTCTCCAAAGAATGCAGAGGGCAAAGATGGATCCAAAGGAACTAACCAGGAGCCCACAAGACGGTGTGCCAGACTGTCAGCGAAACCTGCTCCACCAAAACCTGAACCCAAACCACGAAACACATCTGCTAAGAAAGAAGCTGGAGCAAAGATTAGCAGAGGTGCTAAAGGGAAGAAGGAGGAAAAGCAGGAAGCTGGAAAGGAAGGCGCAGAAAACTGAATCTGTGGATAACAAGGGAGAATGAATTGTCATAAAAAAAATTGGGGTTGATTTTATGTATCTCTTGGGACAACTTTTAAAAGCTATTTTTACCAAGTATTTCGTAAATGCTAATTTTTTAGAACTCTACTAGTCAGTATACAAAAATATATAAGGATGGACATTTTACCCTCTCATAGTCATGCTTTTTGGAAATTTACATCATCCTCAAGTAAAATAAATACCAGTTTAATATTGGAAGCTGCCAGATTGATTCAGCATCCATGCACTCGCTTTAAAATTTAGTCCTGTGCACACTGCGGTGTTTTTACTGAGCATATTTGAAATTTTCATGCAGTTTTTCTACAGCAATAATCAGTGGTGCTTTTGTACCGAGGTTTTATGTTACTTTAATGAAACATGGATAGTTGTGGCCACCTGCTGACTATTTGTGGTTTAAAATAAAAGGTTTTCTTGTCTGAAAAAATAAAATAAAACAAACACACACACAAAAGGCTTTTCTACACACCAGGCATAATTAGTTAGAAGATACAACTTTTGAAATGAATACTATGTGATAGCTGGGAGTAAATCTATAAAAAATAAGCAAGACCTACATGAAAAAAACTAAAAGACTGAGCATGGTGGCTCACACCTGTAATCCAAGCATTTTGGGAGGCTGAGGTGGGCAGATCACTTGAGGTCAGGAGTTTGAGACCAGGCTGATCAACATAATGAAACCCTGTCTTTACTAAAAATACAAAAATTAGCCAGTCCTGGTGGCACATGCCTGTAATCTCAGCTACTTGAGGGGCTGAGGCAGGAGAATCTCTTGAACCCAGGAGGCAGAGGTTGCAATGAGCTGAGATTGCACCACTGTACTCCAGCCTGGGCGACAGAGAGAGACTCCATGTCAAAAAAAAAAAAAAAAGGAAAGAAAACTAAAACTTTTATTGGAGAACATAAAAGAAGACCAGGGCTGGGTACGGTAGCTCACACCTATAATCACAGACCTCTGGGAGGCCGAGGCTGGTGGATCACTTGAGGTCAGGAGTTCAAGACCAGCCTGGCCAATATGGCAAAACTCCGTGTCTCTACTAAAAATACAAACATTAGCAAGCATGGTGGCAGGCACCTGTAGTCCCAGCTGCTTGGGAGGCGGAGACAGGAGAATTGCTTGAATCTGGGAGGTGGAGGTTGCAGTGAGCCATGATCGCCAGCCTGGGCGACAGAACAAGACTCCGTCTCAAAAAAAAAAAAAAAAAAAGGCCTGGAGAGACAATGCCTAGAGAGAAAGACCCAGGGCTACTTTAAAAATGCCTTTGGAAGGTCCATTTTGGTCATATGTGTTACAAGTTTCAACACATCATTTTTACCCCAGCAGCCTCACTGCAGAACTCTATCCTACACAAATACTAGCATATGTTTGCTAGATGTATAAATCCATGAAGATACATGTATAAAGAAAACCTGCTGCACTGCTTATTAGCAACAAATGAGAAGAACATAAGCTCATCATCATGAATGAGGTTAGGTCTGAAAATATTTAAATCAAAAGCTGTCCAGGGGTGGGAAAGGCCTGCCACTATCCCCTGCATCCTTTCCCTTGTACTCCAGCCCTTCCCTCTTTTCTCTCTGCCTGGAGCATTCTTCCCCCGGATATCCCATCTCCACAGCAGTAAGCTGGAGAGACAGGCCCACAGCACAAGGCTAAGGTTCTAAGGTATCTATCCGTCCTCCCAAGAGTGCTGGGAGCAATTCGGAAGGCATGATCCAAATCCACCCGTTTCACTCCCAACACACAGATTCACACTGCAGTGAATTTCTACTTGTTAAAAAAAAAAATCCTGCCGGGCGCAGTGGCTCACGCCTGTAATCCCAACACTTTGGGAGGCCGAGGCGGGTGGATCACGAGGTCGAGAGATCGAGACCATCCTGGTCAACATGGTGAAACCCCGTCTCTACTAAAAATACAAAAAATTAGCTGGGCATGGTGGCGCGTGCCTGTAATCCCAGCTACTCAGGAGGCTGAGGCAGGAGAATTGCCTGAACCCAGGAGGCAGAGGTTGCGGTGAGCCGAGATCACGCCATTGCACTCCAGCCTGGGTAAGAAGAGCAAAAACTCCGCCTCAAAAAAAAAAAAAAAATCCTTTCTGAAATTCTGGACCATCGTGCACAATACATTGTTATCAGTTAGTTCCCAGAAAAAAGTGCTTTGGTCTGGATCAATGTTTTACTTCCGTGCTGTTAGCACCAAGTACAATCCAGAGAAAAAGAAGGTTGCTAGGCACACCCAGGACAGCAGAGGGCGCGGTGGAACAGCACAGAACGCTCAGGCAATAGACCAGCTTCAAGAAAACCCCGTGCACCCCATCTTAATCAAACAGGCCAAGCTCCTCCTCCATCCCCCAACAGGTGGAGTCAGGTCAGCATCAACAGATTCCCTCCAAGTCCTTTGCTAGGTCACTCCATACAGCCTGCCTATTAGCCATCTCTTCTGCTAGACAATGGGGTTTCAATGTCCCCTGGAATCAACCACCCAAACCCTTCCACACCTTTCCCCCAAATGGCACCATTCGCCTCTGCCAAGTCAGCATCATTCCATAAATGTCTGTAGTCAGCCTCCTCTAGTAATGCCGCCCCCGTTCGCAGCCCACTCCAGGCAGTTAACAACTTCCACACACAAAGCCAAAGTTGAAATAAAACTTCTAAAGCCAGCCAGCTCATCTCAGATGGAACTAATATAATATGAAAGGCTATAAACTGATGGAACTGTGCAGTGCAAATAATTTGGCATTTCTGCTCTCTAAATACTAAGCCTGGTCCCGAGGCCAGTCTCAACTCCTCTGCCTAGGCACCACCCACCAGGGCACCCGACTCCTTGCTGTCAAAGGGATGCCACCAGCTTCCCACCACTAGGGTGCCCGTCCTCCCTCTAGGAAGAGGCGAGGGATCAAACTAAAAGGAACAGAGACAGCCAGGTGGAAGAGAAGGCAGGGGCACTGAAGAGTCCAAGGAAGGAGCGAGTGGCTCTGACAGTCACTACCAGCATGTCAGCCCCATGAGGACAGGACTTTCTGTGTTTGATTCACTATGAGAAGCCCAGCGTCTAAAAATATTTCTGAAATGCAAACAGGTGGGAGAGGGGACATGTGGAAGTAAAAGAAATAGGATATTCCATTCAACAAACATTTCCTGATTACCTATTCTTTGTTAAGCCCTACGCCGAGTCTGGTGTTGGTGGAAATTAAACAGAAAACACAGATACCCCCGGAGACCCCAGACCGATGAAGGTAACAAACAAGATACGACCAGAGATGGGTTTTGAAGGATGAATGGGAGTTAGCCGAGTTGTCAATAGTAAGAGGTAAGGTGGGTCCAAAGCACAGCGCTTTCTGAAGGAACAGGAAGTGAAAGGAAAGCGAGCGGCGATGACCGCGTTAAAAGGCGCGGGGCGCTTCGGGCGCTGCCCAGTCCCGGCCCCCTCCAGCCCGGGGCCCGCCGCTCACCACACGCACCGGAAGCGCTCCCTTCTCTCGGAGGCAGACCGGCCAACACTGCAAGGTCCAGTCGCGTTCCGCCGCGGCGCCGGGGCCGCCAGCCAATCAGTGGCGGCCTCTTCCCCGCCCTCGCTTGAACAGCCAATGATGGCGCCGTCGGACCGGAAGTTGTTCCGTCCGGACGGCGTTTCCACGGACGCTCAGGAGAAAATCCTTGGCTGAGCCGGGATCGCTGACGGGCCCGGCTGGGCGCCGGGTAAGCTTGGGGAGTGAACCCGGGGCGGAATGAGGGGACAAGGGAGGGGGTGATGGAGGGACGCCGGCGTGGCACCCAACGGCCCGGCTTTCCTGGGAATATCCTCAGAGCCCGGCTTACTGCCCGCCGCGTTCTGGCACCGTGAGGGGCTCGGAGCCTGCCAGCGACCCCTCGCCCCTCTCCTCTGAGCGCCGCCTACCCACCCCATGTCCCTTTCCCACCGGCACCGGCCCTTCCATCGTCTCCACCTCTTTCGTTTTCCCTAGAAGACAGGCCCCCATTTTTATTTAGCGCCTGCCACGTGCCAGAGGCTTTGCGTAGTGCTGCCCTTTGGTCCCCTCAGTGGTAATGTTAGTAGGCTTCTCCACGCCCATTTCACGGATGAGGAAACCGAGGGGAAGCAGAAAAGCAATGTGACCCTTGCCCAAGGTTTCGAGTCAGTCCAAGCTGGAATTGAAACCCAGGCTTCCGTGACACCGGAACTCCTGGTCTTTCCACCACATTCCACCGCCCCGGCCAACAGATGCGGGGAATTTAGTTTCTCTTTCCACCGCCCACGATTACACACAAACACTGTCACACAGATGCTGAGGGTGGGGAACGGGAAGAGGGTGGGGAGGTTATTTGGAGGCCAGCGTGGGGTGAGGGGTGGCTGATGCAATGACCAGCAATCGCTTGGATCTCAAGAGGGTTTCATTGGTCTCAACCTGGCCCCACCAGCCAACCCACCCCCATTGGACAGTCTCAACGGGAAGGTTGGTCAAGAGCTCAAGTGTTTCTGAGAATCTGGGTGATTATAAGAAACCCTTAGGAATGCGGGGTGGGGAGTGGGAAACAAAGGAAAGAGGAGGTTCTTTTCTCAGAAGGAAAAGTGAAAGAAAGAGGGGAAGAATATTAAAGTCCACTTCTAGCCAGGAGAGCAGGGCATTCTCAGCTGCTCAACTGCCCAGCGTGACCAGTGGCCTTCCACAATCTGGGTATGTATTGCCATCTTTGCCAGGCTTAGAGTTTGTTCGTGTTTTTACCAAATTGCTGAAAACCTTGGTTTAGAAGGTCAGGATTTGTGTCCTAGTATTAGGGTATTATGCGTCTTACTTCTATTGACCCAAAGTTCAGGTAATTCACTTCTCCCATGGGGAACAGAGATTCTGGCCAAGTGGTTTTGTGCAATGTCTTTGCCTTTTAAGATAATGTTCATTCTGTTATTTGGAGGGGAAAGCAATCTTTCTTTAAATGTTTAAAAAAAAAAAAAAAAAAAAAAAAGTGGAACATAATGGGGTCCCAAAAGATGTCAAGAACTCCTTGCTCTAAAGAAGTCATTTTCTTGTCCTCTGGGAACTTGCCAGTCCAAAGGCATTGTCATCTGCATTCTGGGCCAAGATGGAAAGGTTGGTATTCCACCTCCTGGTGGTATTCCAGGGATCCAGAAATGCTCCTGGGCCACATTCTCTTCCCAGCTGCTCCAGAATTGACTGTCTTGATGCCACTCTTCCCCGGACTGGGGAATCAGTGTGTCTGATCTCTGAGATAATTTTGATGCAGCCCAAGTCTTTATCATGTTGTTTTGTTAAACAATTCTATAATTATTTTCACTCCTCATCCCAGTACCATACCGTTTCCTTAAGTGCCTGTTATGCTCCTCCAGAACAGTGGAAACTTTCAGGTTGAGCACAAGATTCAAGTTCTTGAAAAGGGGGAATTGGGGGTTAATTTTCCAAGAGCCTTTTTAGCTTTCTCCTGAAAGGTCTGCCGTGATCTTCTGTGGAGTAGGCAGTTTTACTCCTTACACTCCCAATACTTTTGTTTAGGGAAGATAATAGAGTCCTTCACTGGTTACAACTGTATTTCTTTGTTTCAGTTTGTAATATTTGTTAAACATGTAAAGTCACTTCTCTTAACAAAGACTCAATGTTCTGTTTGCAATTTGTATGGTAAACACTGAACACAATGGTCCTTAACCTTTTGGCTGCTAAGCCTCCTTTGCAAAGGTAATGAAGCCAAGATACTCTGCTCAAAACCATACACATACCAACGTACCTGAAAACGTTAACGTAATTTCAGAGGTTCATGAACTCCAAATTGAAAAACCTCTGAAGTTCAACTCAATTCTGAAAGTCAACAAAGAAATAAAGGAGGATGTTGATAGGTAGGGAGAAGAACGTTCACATAATAAATAGGGTAAATTGATAAATGCGTGAAATGAGGACCATGATAGTTCTATTCTCCTTGTCTCTGACCACACAGGAAGTTGCATCATACACACACATACACACACACACACACACACACACACACACACACACACACACGATTTCTTTTTTTCCTTTTTTTTTTTTTTTTTTTTGACAGAGTCTCACTCTGTTGCCCAGGCTGGAATGAAGTGGCACAATCTCGGCTCACTGCAACCTCCACCTCCTGGGTTCAAGCGATTCTCCTGCCTCAGCCTCCCAAGTAGCTGGGACGACAGGTGCGTGCCACCATGCCCAGCTAATTTTTTGTATTTTTTTTGTAGAGACGGGGATTCACAATGTAGGCCAGGCTGGTCTCGATCTCCTGACCTCGTGATCTGCCCACCTCGGCCTCCCAAAGTGCTGGTATTACAGGCATGAGCCACCGTGCCTAGTCCACACACAAGATTTCAATAGTGCGGATTATTGCCACACAAAGTATATGCCTTGTGATCATGAGAGCAGGGCAACCTCATCTGTTATTTCCTCAGTCTAATGTCATTCCCATGTGCTTCTTAAATGGAGTTCTGATATTTATAGATACATGTTTTTCCCACAACATAGACCCTAAATGCAAGTCTAGTTTCTCTCGCTGATCCTCTAGCAAAGAAACAGTTATCTAATCTATTGCAGTGGGAAATTAGCTGTACTGGGATCACCCAGGCATTCTTCCTGGCACTTTCCCCAGGAATTTTTAAGGATAATTTTTGTCTTATACTTGATTGGTTTCAAAACGTTGCTGCTGCCTTGTTGCCTTCTGTACAGGGCAGTACATTTTTTGGAAGGACAGGGTACACCAAAGGGAATTCCAAAAATAGTGACCAGGATGGTGGGCAGATGTTAGCAGGGGGCGAAGAAACCAGAGTAGGGATGTAAGACATGGAGAAACCCCCAGGAGACCAGCCTGGCTCTCCGCAGATCTCAGAAGGCTCAACTCTGTACCAGGACATTAAACAAGAGGGCATCTAAAGTCCAACTGGGGGAATCAACCTTCAACTGGAACAAGTGAGGACATTATAAGACGATAAACCTTAGAGGAAAATCTTGAACTAGATGACCAAGGAGATTCATTCATTAGATAAATGTTTGTTAATAAGCTGTGTGCTGGGTACTAGAAGTACATGGAAGAATAAACCCAGTGCTTGCCTTCACTGTCCGCTGGGGAAGACATGAATAACTAAACTGCAGTGTAAGTGCTTTCATAAAGTCACTAAAGGAGTGTTTGGGATTCACAGAGGATGGAGCAACCAACTTGGTCCCAGAAGCACAGGTGTCAGGAGAGGCTCTGAAGAGCTGAGGTTCAAATTGGAAAGATAATCAGCAGAGTTCAGGCAGAGAAGGGTGTGAGACATTTCAGGTAGGCAGGCTGCAGGGATTCTGGGAGAGCACATGAGCAAGGGAGCTTGGGAATCAGATTCTGGTTTAGCTACTCCCGGGCAGTGGAACTTCAGAAGACTTGTTCCTACTTCCCTGAGCCATCAGCCTCTCATCTGCTATTGCAGGGCACATAGAGTAACACCCAGTTTTGAGAGTTGGGAGAATTCAGGGTAAGAATCTGGACATGATGTTTGATGATTTGTGGCTAGAAGTAATTTTCATGAGTTTTGTTATTTGATATGGGTATTTCTGCATTCCTCCCTTAACTGGATTCTTTATTATGAGTCAGTTATAACCACCCCAAACCTCCCTTTCTGGGAATTGAGGTGGCTCTCATGCTATCCCATCCTGGTTTTAGTATTACACTTTCATTGCCTTAAATAAATTTTGATTTACGTACCTTTTTTCAATTTTTTTTTTTTTATTTTATAAAAATTTTTCAGAGACAGGGTCTCACTATCTGTGTTGCCCGGGCTGCTCTCGAACTCCCAAGCTCAAGCAATTGCCTTGGCCTTCCAAAGCACTGTGATTGCAGATGGGAGCCACTGCTCACAGCCCATGATTTATGTATTTTGCGGATTTTTTTGTTTGTTTTGAGACAACATCTCTGTTGCCCAGGTTGGAGTGCAGTTACACAGTCTCCACTCACTGCAACCTCCGCCTCCTGGGTTCAAGTGATTCTCCCACCTTAGCCCCCACCACCGAGTAGCTAGTACTACAGGTGTGCACCACCATACCCAGCTAATTTTTTTGTATTTTTATTAGAGACAGGGTTTCACCATGTTGGCCAGGCTGGTCTTGAACTCCTGACCTCAGTTTATCCACCCGCCTCTTCCTCCCAGAGTACTGGGATTACAGGCATGAGCCACCATACCCGATCAATTTACATACGTTTTAAACAAATATTTAACAAATGGATCTATTTAATGACACCACAAATGTTTATGTTTGGTTCACAGAGTTGTCATTGGTAGGGTAGTGGTTGAGAATGTAGGCTCTAGAGTCAAACTACTGAGAGTTTATAGCCCATGTCTGCCGTTTATTTGTGATGTTAACGTGGGCAAGCTTTTATTTTATTTTATTTTGTTTTAAGTAAAATTTTGATGCCACAAAAGAAATAGCACTTGAAGAGAATTCCTCTCAGCAAGGCAGTTTACTTCTGTAGAAGGATGCCAGTCACAGATGGAGCAATGGTAACCGCACACCTGTGCAAGGAGGGGAAGGGGTACTTATGCCCTGATGAAGGTCGCCCCTACTGCTGTGTTGTTCCCCTGTTGGCTAGGGTTAGACAGCACAGTCTAGTCTAATTCCAATTGGCTATTTTAAAGGGAGCAGGTTTGGTGGGAAGGACAGTTATGGGCAGGTCAGAGCAGGTAAGCAGGTGACCAGGATGGGTCAGGGCAGGGGACCGGGGAGTCGGGGGGTGGGGGGGGAACAGATGTGAACTACTGATTAGAACTGGTGGAAAATGTTGTTTACTGTAACTACAAGAAAGTTAAACTTTAAAATAGAGAATTAAATAATAAGAAAGTTGAACATACCGACACACTGATTCTTTTGAAGAGAACCTTGGGGTTCACTATATCTAACCTTTTTTTTTTTTTTTTTTTTTTTTTTTTCTCCAGAGAGTCTTACTCTGTCACCCAGGCTGGAGTACAGTGGCACAAACATAGCTCACTGAAACCTCAAACTCCTGGGCTCAAGTGATCCTCCTGCTTCAGCCTCCCAAGTAGCTGGGATTATAGGCACATCACCATGCCCAGCTAATTTTTTTTTTTTTTTTCATTTTTTTGTAGAGTCACTATATTGCCCCAAATGCCAGGATTACAGGTACGAGCCACCATGCCAAGCCTTGGGCAAGTTTTTTTTTAACCCCTCTGTGCCTCAGCTATAAAATGGAGATAACAAATCTATTTGATAGGACTTCTGTAAGGCTTAAGTGAATTGACACATAAAAGGTGCTTAGAACAATAGCAGGTACAGAGGTGTTCAAAGTTAGCAGCTCAGACACTAGCCTTCTCATTGTCCTCCTCCAGGGTTTTACAGCAAGTTAAAAGAAGCTGGAGTTCAGCCAATCTTTGGAACCCTAAGAAACAAAAGAAAATCAGTAACAGTACTTGTAATGTAGTTACATCTTGCTTTACAGTTTACAAAGTGCTACCATGCCTTTTCTTCTCATTTTGTTCTCAGAAGAGCCTGGGGTAGACAAAGAAGTTCCTTGTGGTGCCATTGTGTAGGTGAGGAAACTGACAGAAAGGAGAAGTGATGCCGAGTGCAATGGCTCACACCTGTAATTTGAGCACTTTCAGAGGCCAAGGTGGGTGAATCACCTGAGGTCAGAACTTTGAGACCAGGCTGACCAACATGGAGAAACCCTGTCTCTACTAAAATACAAAATTAGCTGGGCATGGTGACGCATGCTTGTAATCCCAGCTCTTGGGAGGCTGAGGCAGGAGAATCTCTTGAACCTGGGAGCTGAGATCGCACCATTGCACTCCAGCCTGGGCAACAAGAGCGAAACCCCATCTCAAAAAAAAAAAAAAGAAAGAAAGAGGAAGTGATTGAGCCAAGAAGGGGTTGATGGCAGCACAGTCTCTGTTTGCCCTGTGCCTACCTTCTGCAAGGGTAATGGTGAATAATGACTACCAGGAGGTGCAGACACACCTTCTCCAAAGGTTTATAGTTAAATAAGGCAGTATGTGGAACAGACACATTGCAGACAGTCCTTACACTATATGGAACCTAGGACAGGTAAGGCCCTGTCTTCCACCCCAGAGCTCACTTTGTCTAAGAGCAGCTGGCCAGCAGTGGAAGACATTTGCTCAGCAGTATATTGGTTATGGCTGCAAAGGCCTAAGAATTCATCCCCAAGGCAATTAAGATAAACAGCAAATAGTAGCTGGATGCTGTGGCTCACGCCTGTTATCCCAACACTTTGGGAGGCTGAGGCAAGCAGATCACCTGAGATCAGGAGGAGTTCAAGACCAACCTAGCCAACATGATGAAACCCCGCCTCTACTAAAAATACAAAAATTCACTGGGCTTGGCGGCAGGTGCCTATTGTCCTAGTTGCTCAGGAGGCTGAGCAGAAGAATCACTTGAACCTGGGAGGCAGAGGTTGCAGTGAGCCAAGATCACACCACTGCGCTCCAGCCTGGTGCAATTACCCTTTTTGAGATTGCGCTCCAATCTCAAAAAAAAACAAAACAGCATATAGTAATTTAGTAATTTGCCAAATGTGTATAGCACTGGTGAACTTAGGTTTATTAAAACACATTGGTGTTTATACCCTGAGCAAACAGGAGTCCTATGTTCTGGGCACTGGGTGGGGTACAGGGGGCATCACCAAATGCAAACTCGGTCTTAACTAGGAGGGCCTCTCTTTTTCAGATCTTAAGTCAGTAAATCCTAGTCACTCCTTTAGTCCTCATCATTGACATTTGTTCTTCCCCTTTTCCTCTTTTTCATGGCCTCAAATTTCTGCTTCTCTTTTTATCATATTATCCATGTCCTCTATTGTAACTCACATCATAACCTTTTCAGAAAAATGGACTCATTCCAGGAAAGGAAAAACAGCTGCAGTGTTTTGTTAATCTCTCTTTTTCCCTCTCTCTCCTTTTCCCCCAAGTCTTGACTCCTCTGCTGAACAAAGCCTCTGACCCCTGGCCGGCCATTCTGAGAGATGGCTAACATGGCCAACAGTGAGGCCTGTGCCTCTCCACTGGATCTGTTCAACAGCATTACCACTCAAGGGGAGCACGTGAGGGCCCTGAAAGCCGGAAATGCATCAAAGGTAGGTGATTTTGTTGGGTTCTCCATAAAGGCAGCTGAGCCTCCCAAGTCTTTAGGGCTGTTACTCTGGAGGAGATGGTTTCCTCAATGACTGAAGGGTTTTGGTTATAATTTTTTGTTGTTGGGTTTTGTTTTGCTTTCTTAAGAGGGAGTAGCACTCTTGTTTCTCAGAATGGAGTGCAATGGTGCAATCTCAGCTCACTACAACCTCCGCCTCCCAGTTCGAGCAATTCTCCTGCCTCAGCCTCCCAAAGTAGCTAGGATTACAGGCATGCACCACGATACCCAGCTAATTTTGTTGTGTTTTTTTGTTTGTTAGTTTTTGTGTGTTTTTTTGAGATGGAGTTTCAAACTTGTTGCCCAGGCTGAAGTGCAGTGGCATGATCTCCGCTCACTGCAACATCTGCCTCCCAATTCAAGCTATTCTCCTGCCTCAGCCTCCCAAGTAGCTGGGATTACAGGCGTGCGCCACAACACTCATCTAATTTTGTATTTTTAATAGAGATGGGGTTTCTCCATGTTGGTTAGGCTGGTCTCAAACTCCCAACCTCTGGTGATCCACCCGCCTCGGCTTCCCAAAGTGTTGGGATTACAGGCATGAGCCATCGCACCCAGCCTTGGTTATAGTTTTAAATGTGTTTTTCCCTTTATCAACATCGGGATGCCTGTGATCTAAAGAGTCAGGGGTTCTCAAAGCCTTTGTGAAATACAGCGGCCCTCCAGTCCACCTCTCCCTATTTCCTGCTCAATTCTTTTAGCCGGTCTTTGGTTATGTACTCCCCATATCTACAAATATTCTGCTTATTATATTGCTCCTTGTCGATATTCAAGTTGGGGGCTTTCATGTGGAAATGAAAAATTTGTGCTTTCCCAGCCACTTCCCGTCCAGGCAGTCTCCCCATCTGTATTGCAGTTGCAGTTAGATCAGTATCTGTATCAAGGATAGAATGAGTACTCTTCCTTTCTCGCCCTCAAACCATCAAGGATAGAATGACTACTCTTCCTTTCTCGCCCAGCTTTTGTTTTCTCTGGAGTTAATATTTGTCTTAATTTCTGTTTGCTTGACTTTTTTTATGTGAGTGATACCAATGATAATGTATCTCCAAGTCCTTTTTTCCCAGTCAGATGAATCTCCTTTCAACACACATCAACTAATATGTCCAGTTCATCTTCTTGAGGTGATCTCTCCCAACACCTTCTGCCTGCTTCCCTCTGGACTGGTGACTCTTGCCTCCTACACTGCCCGTCTTGGCATCTTTCTTCACTGTCAACCCAGGAGTTCCTTTCACCCCTGCTGATTGGGTGCCCCATTTCCTGCTCCTACGTCTTATTCCTCTTTGCTTTAGTCTTTGGGCAGAGCAAATCTTCCAATTGTTTCTGAAAAAAATATTGCAAAGAAAATATTTCTGGGGGGATCTTGCCCATCTGAAAGTGTATTTATTTTGCCTAAAACTTGATTGATAACTAGGCTGGGTGTAGGGTTCTATCATGAAAGTGATTTCCCCTGGGAATGCTGAAGCCACTGCTCTATTGGTACCTAGCTTCTGGGCTTGCTGCAGAGAAGCCAGATGCCATTCCTCCATTTTTTCTCTCTGGAAGTTGGTCTTCTCTGTTCCAGTGTTTTGAAATTTCATGGTATATGGGCTCAGCATGCCTTTCGAACTAGAAACTCATGACCGTTAATTCTCAGAAATCATTATTTCTTTGATCCCTTCTCTTTTCTTTCTTCACAGACTTTTTTTTTTTAATTTGGAGACTGTTTCTCTGATTTTCTAACCCTCCTATTGTTTTCCATTTCTCCTATCATTTTTAACTTCCAGGAGCATGTATGCTCCCTAAAATCTTCTCAGAGCACCCTGCCCTGATTCATAGGTACACTACCATCCTTTTCTGAGGTCTTAATGGTAGTTTTCCACATGTCCTCTACATCCTTTATAATCCCAGCTTTATCCATATTAATTTTTTTCTACCTGTCTTTGATATTAGAGGCAATTCTCAATTGTTTGGTGTTTCTTGGCTATTTACTCATGTTTTGAGGGGTACACTTTAAAAAAGCTGCTGGATGGACTGTTTATTGCGGAGGAGCTTATCAGCATAGGTTATCAGCATAGGTTCTTTAAAGGGGAGAATGAGCAGGCAGCTCCCCTTTAAAGTTAAGTGAGATTCCCCAGAGAAAGCTCCCCCAGTTCACTGTTCAGAGCGGGTGAGTCCAGCTGCCAGCATTCCACGGCTGAGTGGGAGAGAAGGGTTATGGGATCCTTCCCCGAAGCTCCTATTCTCTGTTTGCTGCCAGTGCCCCAACTGTGCAGATTGCTCCCAGCCTAGGCACCTGTAACTCTGTCGTCTCTCCACATGAAACCTTGGAAAGGAGGGGAAAGTATGACACTCCCTTGGCCAAGGGGAGAGGGGTTCTCAGTAACTGCTTCTTTTTTTTTTTTTTTTTTTTTTTTTTTTTTTTTTTTTTTTTTTTTTTTTTTTAGACGGAGTTTCGCTCTTGTTACCCAGGCTGGAGTGCAATGGCGCGATCTCGGCTCACCGCAACCTCCGCCTCCTGGGTTCAGGCAATTCTCCTGCCTCAGCCTCCTGAGTAGCTGGGATTACAGGCACGTGCCACCATGCCCAGCTAATTTTTTTGTATTTTTAGTAGAGACGGGGTTTCACCATGTTGACCAGGATGGTCTCGATCTCTTGACCTCGTGATCCACCCGCCTCGGCCTCCCAAAGTGCTGGGATTACAGGCTTGAGCCACCGCGCCCGGCCAGTAACTGCTTCTTGAAGAGACTTCAACCAGCCTCCTGTTTTCGTAGCCCACTTTCACCACCACTCTTATAAGCACCCGAGGTCACTAAGGCCTGAGCCTTTGAGCAATTGCATAGCAGCATACTGGTCACTGTCCAGTATTTCTGCGATGTCTTAACATTCATTTTCTCTCATTCCGTTAGGCACTGGTCATCCATCAGCTTTCCAGCTTCTGAAACCTTGTTGCTGTCATCCTCTTCTTGTTTCTTTTGTTCTTGTGCGATTATGCTGTAAAAAAAAAAAAAAAAAAATCTCTGCTTTTGTTATAGTGGGTTTCAGAAGTATCATCATCAATATGCATCTTTAACTGGAATGTAAGCATTTCACTTCCTTCTGGGGTGCCTCCACTCCTAGGTCCCCCAGCTTCTGCATGACTTCCATCACTATCACTTTCTTTTTGTTTCGAGATGGAGTTTCACTCTGTCACCCAGACTGGAGTGCAGTGGTGCAATCTCGGCTCACTGCAACCTCTGCCTCTGCCACCTGGGTTCAAGCAATTTTCCTGCCTAAGCCTCCCAAGTAGCTGGGACTACAGGCACCTGCCATTATGCCCGGCTAATTTTTGTATTTTTAGTAGAGATGGGGTTTTGCCATGTTGGCCAGGCTTATCCTAAACTCCTGACCTCAGGCAATCTGCCCACCTCAGCCTCCCAAAGTGCTGGGATGACAGGTGTAAGCCACCATTCCTGGCCCAACTTCCATCACTTTCAAATTCCGTTATCTGTTATCTTCTTTTCAAACATCTCTTCCTTGCTTGTTACCAGATGGTGTCAACTATCTCACATTCCTCAGTAATTTACTTTGACTGTTTGGTACCCAATTTAAACGTGTGTGTGTGTGTGTGTGTGTGTGTGTGTGTGTTGAGACAGGGTCTCCCTCTTTCCACGTTAGATTGCAGTGGTTCGATCATAGCTCAGTGCCCTTGAACTCCTGGGCTCAAGAGTGATCCTCCCACCTTAGCCTACCAAGTTGCTGGGATTATAGATGCAAGCCACTGCACCCAGCTCGTATTTTTTTTTTTTTTTTTTTTTTTTGAGACGGAGTTTCGCTCTTGTTACCCAGGCTGGAGTGCGATGGCGCGATCTCGGCTCACCGCAACCTCCGTCTCCTGGGTTCAGGCAGTTCTCCCGCCTCAGCCTCCTGAGTAGCTGGGATTACAGGCACGTGCCACCATGCCCAGCTAATTTTTTGTATTTTTAGTAGAGACAGGGTTTCACCGTGTTGACCAGGATGGTCTCGATCTCTTGACCTCGTGATCCACCCGCCTCAGCCTTCCAAAGTGCTGGGATTACAGGCTTGAGCCACCGCGCCCGGCCACCCAGCTCGTATTTTAAAGGAAATAAATAGCACTGAAAGAAAGTAATGTCAAAAAAAAAAAAAAAAGAAGAAGTTGCATATTTACAGAAAGCGATTTACTCAACAAGTAGGGCTTGAAAGATTAAACCAAGTTGTTTTAAAACAAAAATATAAAATAAATAAAAGACCTAGTGGGGTTATGTAAGCCCATCATTTTGGGAAGTTGACAGTGCTATTTTGTCCATTTAATATTAAATTTGAATAACATTTAGTAAATGTTTTTAGTTAGTAATTCTTAGTGACTGCAATTATATTCATTATTTTAGTCAACTTAATACATTTTGTAATAATTCTTCCAAGCGTATTCTTTGACTAATGCAATTAGCTGGCACACGTTGAAGACATCAGAGGTTACACAAAGAGATCAGAGTTAAATGTTGAAAAATTCTAAAGTACATTTGTATCTGACCCTGAAATGTCTTGGTACTAGAAGCACTTGATGTTTTGGAAATTTTAAAAATTAACTTTTAGCAAAATAGTTTGAGCCACATTGGGAGCGCCAGTTCTCTGAGAGGGCACCATCAGCCCTTCCTTGGCCTGCCATTTATCTAGGCCATGGACCTCAAAGGTCTTTTCTGCTCCAGTTGTATCTAAAGAATAAGATCCACTACCTTCAGTAGCAGCAGCTCATTAAAGCAGAGAGTTTCCTAAGGGGGAATAAGTCAGAATCTGAGGGCTTCGAGGGGCAATTGTTTGAAGAGAACTGAAGAAGCAATGCTGCATCTTAGATATTAAGAAAGAGAGCAGAGCCTTTTCTTCTCCTTTTTGTGTAAGTAACTTCAAAATCTAAATATACCACTAATACAGAGAAATATGCTGATCATAAGCAGGCACCTCACTGAATTTTCACAAAACGACCACATCTCTGTAACCAGCACCCAAATCAAGAGCCAGCATAGAGCACCTGGAAGCCACCCTCACGCCCCTCAGCCTCTGCCATGACTCCTTCCACCAGGGCTAGCTCTACCTGTGGTTGAACTGTATGTAATCAAGTAGTATATAGACTTGGGTCTGGCTTTTTTTTCTGAACATTGGCTTTTGGCTGGGCACTGTGGCTCATGCCTATAATCCGAGCACTTAGGAGACCAAGACAGGAGGATCACTTGAAGCCAAGTGTTTGTGACCAGCCTGGACAACATAGTGAGACCCTGTCTCCACAAAAAAATTTAAAAATTAGCGGGACATGGTGGCACACACCTGCAGTCCCAGCTACTCGAGAGACTGAAGTGAGACTCTGTCCCAAAAAAACAAAAATAAAAAAATAAAACTGATCTTCTGGTTTTTTAGGGTGGTAGGGTCTCACTCCATCACCCAGTTGGAGTGCAGTGGTGCAGTCTTGGCTCACTGCAACCTCTGCCTCGTGTGGGCTCAAGCAGTCCTCCCACTTCAGCCCCCGATTAGCTAGGAATACAGGTGTGTGCCACCATGCATGGCTAATTTTTTTCATTTTATTTTTGTAGAGACAGGGTTTTGCTATGTTGCCCAGTCTGGTCTTGAGCTTCTGAGCTCAGGCAATCTACCCACCTTGGCCTTCCAAAGTGCTGGGATTACAGCGTGAGCCACTGCACCCAGCAAACATCAGCATTTGAATCCTGTTTCAGTGTCCTGGTTCAGACACTGATTAAGACTGATTATAAGAAAATAGACAAGGTGAGCCTTCTTGTCTATTTCAGTGCTATACCAGAATGCAGATGGTGCTTGAGCAGGGACATTGGTTAAATGTTTGACTTTCACAGAGCCTCTTAGTTACAAGCAGAATTAGACCACATAGAGTATGAAATGTCAACGAAGCTAGTTATTAGGGATATTGACTGCTGTGTACTTCAAAGCAAGGTAAGCCTTCCCATAGAGAATTAAATAGATTACACACATGAAACATTTATTTTCTTCAAGTACTGAGCCTAGGTACTAAAGAAAAACGTATTTACCTATCTAACCTGGACAAACATCTCATCTATGAGTTGTATCCGTTGGGCTACTAATTCCACAAATCTGACTCATTTTAATGATGAGTTCCAGATAATTTTGTAGTTTGAAACACAGATCACTCCAGAATCGCAGTCCTCTCTGGTCTAGGTGCTGTACCTGATGCAACAGTTATCTCTTAATGGAGGTTGGTGTTTATAGAACATTCCATACATGGTAAAAGGAATTTGAGGAGATTTTTAAAAAAAGAACGTTCTGTGTAAACTGTAAGTGGAAATGTTTGTATTTCCCTTGGCAAGCAAATTGGACTGGGTATATTCTTTGTTTGTGATCTAATCCAGCAAGGCCAATTACCGGAATAGAGCTTTAGGGCATAGCATGACTAATCAGCTTAATTAAGGCCTGCTTTTTTAAACACCAGGCTTCCAGGGGTGGCCACTATAGACTCCTGCAAGAGTCTTTAATAGATTTCCAGACTACCCAAGGGTGCATTTTACTTTTCTTATTTTTTTTTCAAGATAGTTTGATAAGACTCTAAAATGTAGTGATAAAACTATTTCCCAGTAAATCCCTCCTTAATTTATAGCCTGAGAACCTACATTTTTTGTCCTTGCTGTTATCTGTTTTAGTTGCTCTTACTATCCTTAGTGACATCACTGGTTAAGTTTTCATAAATATTCATTCAACCTGCGTGGAATGTAAAAATTAGTTCCAACGCAGAATTCCAGGATACTCAAATTAAAGAAGCTTGTCACACACGTTCTCTGGCATCAGTGGCATTTGACAAATCTTTAGCATGTGAACTTTGTCATAAACAACAGTATATATTGTGTCACTGCTATTGTCCCAAAATGTTCATGGTAGCACGAGAATAACAGATAAAAATGAAGTGCTTTTGAGCCGATGACTTGCTGTGATTCTATGGGTAAGCTCCTTCTCCTCTCTGAGTCTCAGATTCTTGAGCTGGAAAAGGACAGTGACAATGCTGCCTGCCTTGTAGAGTTGGTATGAGACTAACTGAGGTAGTGCGTGTGAAAGGATTTAGCACAGTGCCTGCCAGAGAATGGGCATTCAGCGAACATCAGCTATTAGTAATACTTTTAGCCATTACGTCTGTTTCCTTTTTCAGGATGAAATTGATTCTGCAGTAAAGATGTTGCTGTCGTTAAAAATGAGCTACAAAGCTGCCATGGGGGAGGATTACAAGGCTGACTGTCCTCCAGGGAACCCAGCACCTAGCAATAATCATGGCCCAGACGCCACAGAAGCTGAAGAGGATTTTGTGGACCCATGGACAGTACAGACGAGCAGTGCAAAAGGCATAGACTATGATAAGCTCATTGGTATGTCCTCTGTTTTCCTCCCAGAAAAAGCCTCATCTTTTAGAAGTGATCCCATTGAGTTGAGTCCATTAATGTTTTTAAATTCTGAATTAATCATAAATTCAGTGAAGCTTGATTCAGTGCCAAGAAAAAAGTGAATCCTAAAATTTTTCGGTTGTGCAACATTTCCAAAGGATTATTTTAAAATAAAATAACAATATAAAACAAATTTCAAAATAGTGATCTATAGTAGACAGCTTAGTAGAAGCTTTTCCCTTTTTTTTGAGCATTTCAGAACTTGGGAAAGCTCTATTGAAATGGTCATTTAAGGCCAGGCGTGGTGGCTCACACCTGTAATCCCAGCACTTCGGGAGGACGAGGCTGGCGGATCACAAGGTCAAGAGATCAAGACCATCCTGGCCAATATGGTGAAACCTTGTCTCTACTAAAAAATACAAAAATTATCTGGGCATGGTGGCACACGCCTGTAGTCCCAGCTCTTCGAGAGGCTGAGGCGGGAGAATTTATTGAACCCAGGAGGCGGAGATTGCAGTGAGCCGAGATTGCTCCACTGTACTCCAGCCTGGCAACAGAGCAAGACTCTGTCTCAAAAGAAAAGAAAAGAAAAGAAAAGAAAAGAAATGGTTGTTTAAAACATTTAGTAGCTATAAGTCAATTATAGATTAATTAGGTTTCACCTCAGTAATGGATATTGGAGTGGATACTGGCTATGGACCTAGAAGGCTGGAAGTCAGCTTAAGAGTGATAACTTTGCCATTCCATTGAAGTCTTTACTCTGAGATCATTGCTGATTGTCACAGAAGAAACAGAACTAAAACGTTTCATCCAAGTCAAAGCCATTTTCCATGATTTGAGTATAGACTTATCAATGAGGGAAAATTCACTTGACGACAGACGTTAATTCAGTTCAACAAATAACATGAGAAATCATGATTGTCAATGAATATGAATTTTACCTCAAGTGAATGTATATATATAAATATGTGTGTATATTTGTATTTTGTTGTCAAAAGTTGCTAGCTGGACCACATTCTGGATGTTTCCCATCAGAATAACCGTTCTCAGGCAAAACAGCATTTTGTGTTGTAATTTATTTCCTGTTTTATTAGTCGTACTGATCTCAGCTGTTATTTTAATACAAAGGCCTTTTACTTTATGTTGGGGGTAAGCACCTTTAGTAGAAGGCCTAAAGAGGTTTGCATTCATTAAGAATGTGCATGGATCACTCCCTTTTCACCTTCATTTCAATAATATCTGATCACTAAACATCCTGCCACATAAGAAAGTCATCTTGTCTTTTTTCCAATTTTTTCCAGTTCGGTTCGGAAGCAGTAAAATTGACAAAGAGCTAATAAACCGAATAGAGAGAGCCACCGGCCAAAGACCACACCACTTCCTGCGCAGAGGCATCTTCTTCTCACACAGGTCAGGGGCCCTTCACCACAGATCTTCTCACCTGTCCTCTTCTTTTAGTTCAAAAAATCATAACACAGCTCTCTTAATAAGCTGCCTGGCACTGCAGGAAAAGTGATGGCCAGCTGTCAGAAAACTGGGATCCACCCTCTGTCCTGTCAGTACCCACTATGGGATCATGCTTGTCCATTCACCCACAGGCCCTTAGTTTTTTCATTTTTAGACTATCCACCTCACAATATGGGAATCAATAGATTGCAGATGAGACTTGTCAGATGACATACTGTAAATAAATTATAAAAGGTCACGAAAACAAAAGAGATTAATATGTCCAAGTTCAACATTTCCCACACAACAAACAGTAGGCTTCCTGAAATTCCAAACCCTCTTCCTCCTATTGTATTGACTTGCTCATAAATCATACCAAAAGACAAGCCAATAGAGAATGCATGGAACAGAGCATCTGTACCTCAAGCCATAAATTACATGCAGATAACATCAAGATATGGGCAGGTTCCAAAGGGTTTCTGCCTGTCCCACCCTACATGTTATCTGGGTTGAGGCAGGCCCATTTTTGAAGCTGTGTCAATGGAATTTATGATCTGAGATAGGGTCGTTCTGTTCTACTGGCACTTCATGGTTATAGGAGAATACCTCCCAGGGCAGAGCCCAGCAGTCTGCTCAAACACTTTGAATTCTGCCTGCAAAGAACTCCAGGCCTTGCTCAACCCACTTTCTGGGCAGATTGTAATCAAAAAGTTGTCCTTAATTAACATATTATAAAACTCACTTTTTTAAGTATACAATTAAGTGGGTTTTAGTATATTCACAAGGTTGTGACACCATCATGACTAATTCCAAAACATTTCATCACCCCAAAAAGAAGCCTCTAACCATTAACCCATTTATGCCAGAGGTGGCAAAATTTTTTTGTGAAAAATCAGACCTTGGCGATCATCTTGAGCAGTAGGATATAAATAACTCCTACAAGATTAGTGTTCCAATAATGGAACGCTAGGCATAAATGGGTTAAGCAGTCATCCCTCCATTTCAGCCTCCCCACTGGCAACCATTCATCTGCTTTCTCTATATATAGATTTAAGCATTTCATATAAAGGATTTATACAACGTGGCCTTTTGTGTCTGGCTTTTACTTTTCATAACATTTTTAAGGTTCCTCCATGTTATAGCATATATCAGAACTGTATTCCTTTTTATTGCCAAATAATATTCCATTGAATAGATATAACTCACATTTTGTTTATTCATTGGTTAGTTGATGGACATTTGAGTTATTTTCACTTTTTGGCTATCAATAATGCTACTCTGACCATTTGTATACAAGTTTTTGTGTGGATGTATGTTTTCAAGTCTCTTGAGCATATACCTGGAAATAGAATTAATGGCTCATGTAGTAATTCCACGTTTAACTCCTTGAGGAACTGACAGACTTTTCTGTAGCAACTGTATCATTTTACTTTCCCACCAGCAACATAGGAAGCTCCCAATCTCTCCACATCCTCACCTGCACTTGTTATTTTCCATGGTGGTATGTTTTATAGCCATCCTAATGGGTGTGAAGTAGTATCTCATTGTGGTTTTGATTTGTATTTCCCTAATGACTAGTGATGTTGAGAATCTTTTCATGTGCTTATTAACCATTTTTATATCTTGTTTGGAGAAATGTCTATTCAGATCCTTTGCCTACTTTTTAATTGGGTTGTTTGTCTTTTTATTGTTGAGTTATAATAGTTCTTTATATATTCCGGATACTAGTTTCTTATCCATATATTACCTGCAAATATTTGCTTCCATTATATAGGTTGTCTCTTCACTCTTCTGATAGTCCTTTGAAGTATAAAAGTTTTTAAATTTTGATGAAGTCTAGTTTATTTTATCTTTGATTGATTGTGCTTTTAGTATGATATCTAAGAAACCACTGCCTAACCAAAGGTTGTGGTTTCAGTTTCTTATCCTTTTTGAGTTAATTTTTGTATATTTGTGAGGTACAGCTCCAACTTCGTTCTTCTTTTTTTTGAGACAGAGTCGCTCTGTCGCCCAGGCTGAAGTGCGATCTCAGCTCACCACAACCTCCGCCTCCCGGGTTCAAGTGATACTCCTGCCTCACCCTCCTAAGTAGCTGGGACTACAGGTGTGCACCACCATGCCCAGCTAATTTTTGTATTTTTAGTAGGGATAAGGTTTTACTATCTTGGCCAGGCTGGTCTTGAACTTCTGACTTCGTAATCCGTCCGCCTCAGCCTGTCAAAGTGCTGGGATTACAGGCGCAAACCACCACACCAAGCCTATCTCAGCACTCTTTTTCAAAGAGACTATTCTTTCCTTACTGAATTTTTTGGCATTTTTTGCCAAGAATCAATTGGCCGTATATTTAAAGATTTCATTCTAGACTTTGAACTCTATGCCACTGATCTATATATCTATCCTTATGCTAGTACTACATAGTCTTGATTACTATAGCTCTGTAATGAGTTTTGAAGTTAGAAAATGTGGATCCTCAAACTTTGTTCTTTTTCAAGATTGTTTAGGTATTCTAGGCCCCTTACATTTCCATACGAATTTCAGCTTTTCCATTTCCACAAAAGCAGCAGCTGGGATTTTGATAGGGATTGCACTGAATCTGGAGATTCGTTTGTAGAGTATTGCCATCTTAAAATATTAATTCATGAACATGGGATTTCTTTTTACTTCTTTCATTTCTTTCTTTGATATTTTGTAATTTTCAGTGTATAGGTTTTGCTATACACTTTGATTAAATCATAAGGATTTTATCTTTTTAATGCTATTGTAAATGGCATTTTCTTAATTTCATTTTCAGATTGTTCATTGCTACTATATAGAAATACAACTGATGGCCAGGCACGGTGGCTAACACCTGTAATCCCAGCACTTTGGGTGGCTGAGCAGGTGGATCACTTGAGGTCAGGAGCTCGAGACCAGCCTGACCATGGTGAAACCCCATCTCTACTAAAAATACAAAATTAGCCCAGCATGGTGGTGGGTGCCTGTAATCCCAGCTACTCAAGAGACTGAGGCGGCTGGGCGCGGTGGCTCAAGTCTGTAATCCCAGCACTTTGGGAGGCCGAGGCGGGTGGATCACGAGGTTGAGAGATCGAGACCATCCTGGTCAACATGGTGAAACCCCGTCTCTACTAAAAATACAAAAAAACTAGCTGGGCGTGGTGGCGCGTGCCTGTAATCCCAGCTACTCAGGAGGCTGAGGCAGGAGAATTGCCTGAACCCAGGAGGCGGAGGTTGCGGTGAGCCGAGATCGTGCCATTGCACTCCAGCCTGGGTAACAAGAGCGAAACTCCATCTCAAAAAAATAAAATAAAAATAAAAATAAAAATAAAAATAAAAATAAAAAAAAAGAGACTGAGGCAAGAGAATTGCTTGAACCCGGGAGGCGGAGGTTGCAGTGAGCAGAGATCACGCCATTACACTCCAGCCTGGGCAATGAGCAAAACTCCATCTCAAAACAAAAAAAAATACAACTGATGTTTGTGTATTAATCTTATATCCTGAAATTTTGCTGAGTTTATTAGCTCTAATGCTTTTTTCTTTTTGCAGATTGTATAGGATTTTCTACATATAGGATTATATCTCCTATTACTAGAGACAGTTTTGCTTCCTTTTTCTTTCCTAATTTTTCTGACTAGAACTTTCAGTAGGATGTTGAATAGTAGTGGTAAAAGTGAGCATCCTTTTCTTATTCCTGATCTTAAAGGAAAAGCTTTCAGTAAAGACTGAATATACACCATTGAGTATAATGTTAGCTGTGGGTTTTCTATATACCCTTCATCATGTTAAAGTGTTTTTATTATGAAAAGATGGTAGATTTTATCAAATGAATTTTCTGTGTTTATTGAGATGATCATGTGGGTTTTGACCTCTATTCTATTAGTATGGTGTATCACATTGATGGATTTTTGTGTGTTGAATCAACCTTGCATTCCTGGAACAAATCCTGCTTCATCATGGTGTTGAAAATCAATTGATTTTCAATCATGTGTATAATCCTTTTTATATGTTGCTGGATTTGGTTTGTGAGTTGCTGAGGATTTTTATATCTATTTATAAGGAGTATTGGTCTACAGTTTTCTTTTAATGTCTTTGTCTGGCTTGGTATCAGGGTAATACTGGCCTCATAGAATTAGTTGGGATGTAGTTCTTATTCAGTTTTTTTGGAAAAGCTTGCAAAGGATTGGTGTTACTTCTTTTTTGAACATTTGACAGAATTTATCAGTGAAAAAGGGTTTGGGGCTTTTCTTTGTATGAAATTTTTTGATTACTAAATTCAGTCTTTTTGCTTGTTATAGACCTGTTCATATTTTCTGTTTCTTCTTGGGTTTGTTTCAGTAATTTGTTTCTAGGAATTTGTCTACTTCATCAAGGTTATCTTATTTATTGGTATACAGTTATTCCTAGTATTCCCTTATATAGTAATCCTTTTCATTCCTATAAGGTTAGTAGTAATACCCCTTCTTATATTCCTGATTTTGGTAATTTGAGTCTTCTCTTTTATTCCACCACCCCCACCCCCAGTCACTTTGATTCAAAGTTTACTAATTTTGTTGGTTTGTAGTCAGCGTTTTTTATCTTAGCATTAAATGGTTCTCACTGCCCTTATGACTTATTTATTGACTGCAGTATAGTAATCCTGTAGCCTCTTGGCTTAAGAAAGAACAGGATCTGAGGCATTTGCCCATTCTCATATTTCAGACTGCCACTCTATCTAATTTTATCATCTGTAAAATTGGGGATTAAATGAGATCTACCATGCACAGTCAAGCTTCAAGTGGTGGGCAGGTACCTGGGTTCCGTCAGTAGCTGAATGAGTCTCTGCTGGAAACCCGTCCTCATAAAAGGTGAGCTCAGAATTGGAGCCCAGTAAATTTCTGCACACTTCTCAGGAGCACTGCAGGACAAAGCACACAGTGTGTTCTCAGATGCTTCCTATAAACACAGGAAAAGCAGCTCATGGGACAACTGCATTTTTTTTCTCTTCTGTAAGCCCATAAAAGTTTAATTTATTTAATTGTGAGAACCAAAGAAGGACACTTTACTTCCAAAATTATGGGTTATTTTCTTTCCTTATTTCAAAAGCAGTAGGTGAGCATTTCATGGGGAATAAAATAAAAACTAAACCCAAAAACCAAACACCCACAATTGTATCAGTCCAGAGATGAGCACTACTAACCCTGGTCTTGGGGAATGTAAGGAGAAGTCACTTTCAGAATACTCTTCTCTAGATTCTCCTACCCAGACCTCTGGAAAAAGTAGATATTCCTCTTATATTTGGGGACACTTTACCCAGAAAAAAAGGGCATTCATCCTGGAGTTTCCCACCCTGCTGAACATTGGAACCTCACAGAGCTTTTTTTTTTTTTTTTTTTTTTTTTTTTAGACGGAGTTTCGCTCTTGTTACCCAGGCTGGAGTGCAATGGCGCATCTCGGCTCACCGCAACCTCCGCCTCCTGGGTTCAGGCAATTCTCCTGCCTCAGCCTCCTGAGTAGCTGGGATTACAGGCACGCGCCACCATGCCCAGCTAATTTTTTGCATTTTTAGTAGAGACGGGGTTTCACCATATTGACCAGGATGGTCTCGATCCCTCGACCTCGTGATCCACCCGCCTCGGCCTCCCAAAGTGCTGGGATTACAGGCTTGAGCCACCGCGCCCGGCCCAGAGCTTTTTAAAATTACACATTCCCAGAGAGCACCTCAGATCCATTGAATCAATCTCTGGAGGCAGGGCCCAGGCAGCTGAGATTGGAAGCAACCTCGTGGGGAGGGGAATGACTGACTCTAGAGTGACTCGCAGATGAAGATACCTAGTCCCAAGTTGGCTGAGGGACCCAGATCAGATCTCCAACTGGGGACTTGACCTCTGAACTCCCAGAGGACAATTCTTACTTTCCCTGCTAAGCCAGGACTGTATGGTCCCATGTAGTTTGCCCAGTCTTGTTCTGAGAGTCCTCGAGCTGCATGATTCTGAGCAAGGATCGTATGGTGTCGGCCTAGTGTCCCCAGGGAAGTGTACCAAGCTCAAGTATGTCAGCACTGATGTTTGGAGGGATTCCAAGAGCCCCAGTAACTGCACAGCCAGATCCGTCTTTTAAACATGTCATTCCAAACCTGCACATTTTATATTTTAAAACACTCAAAGAAGAAACCATTTCAGTAGAAGTTTCCTGTCATTTTTATATCATAGGCACCAAAGGTAACAAACTCTAGTTATCTACGTTGTTTTGTCTCTGTCTTTGTTTTTCATTTCCAAAAGTACACTAGTGCTTTGATGTTTTTCTCAGAAAATCACACTTTTCCTCTTCTCCTTTTTCCTTTAGAGATATGAATCAGGTTCTTGATGCCTATGAAAATAAGAAGCCATTTTATCTGTACACGGGCAGGGGCCCCTCTTCTGAAGCAATGCATGTGGGTCACCTCATTCCATTTATTTTCACAAAGTAAGTATTGGATCTTATGACTTTTCTTACTCTCTTAGTGAATTGAGAATGTTACTTATAAACCATGTTTAGAACTGACAAGATCATGCTAGTTCATTTGCTGAGCAGCCAAGATGTCAAGAGTTGGCACTTTTTTGGCTTCCATTCACTTTGTTCCTGGGCTTACTTCAGAGGAACTTGGAGTGATGGGGAGAGTACAGCTTTGGAGTCAGCCAGACATGCTCCTCTTCTCATCCTGCTCCGTGTCCACATGGCCATGGGCCAGCTACTTCTCTGAGCCTGAGTTTCCACATCTTCAAGATGAGACTGATACCTGCCTCAAAAAGCTATTGTAAGGCTTCAAAACAAACTGTGTAGAGCAGCTAACACAGGGCATACAGGGCCATCTTGGTCAATAAATGGTAGTAGCCCTTATATTATCCAAAGTCAAATTCATATCATGATTCAAATTGTGGTTTTGTAGGCAAGGAAGTTTTAACCTACATTAAGTAGGAACCGTGTTTTCAGATGCACAGTGGCATTCCTCCAAAGGGGAGACGAAACATCAACTTTCTTCCCCCATATTTCTTTAGGTGGCTCCAGGATGTGTTTAACGTGCCCTTGGTCATCCAGATGACGGATGACGAGAAATATCTGTGGAAGGACCTGACCCTGGACCAGGCCTACGGCTATGCCGTGGAGAATGCCAAGGACATCATTGCCTGTGGCTTTGACATCAACAAGACTTTCATCTTCTCTGACCTGGACTACATGGGGTAAGAAGAAAATGCCTGACTGTCTTTTTCAATAGGTAGAGGCAGATGTCAAGTTGCTATGATCACAGCTAAATCCGAAATACCTGAAATGGTCTTAAGGCCTGGTAAATGTTCTTCTTCCTTCATTAAATGCTGTGAGCTGGTTTATTGGTTTTATTTACCAATAGTTTTAGAAGTGAAAATCTATGTATATAAATAGAAAGGATTAAGTGATATCAGTATCTTAAGGACTCGATTATTGCCTCCATAATTAAATTTACAGAAATTTAAAATACGGGCTTAGCTACAGCACAATGGCAGCTCAGATTTTCATCCCCAGCTGTGCCAGGAAGTCCTGCATTGCAGTTTCTCACCAAGGATAGTCAGTCTTCCAGAGTTGTGTCTTCCTCCTTTTCAGTGTACCTTTTCCTCACAGAGAGAAGACTCAGTGGTTACATAGTTCCTCAGTCTAGTTCTTTTAATCAACCATTTAATAGACCAAAATATTTTGTTCTGAAAATCCTTCAAGTTTTACTCCAAATGATTACAAGAAGGTGTTAGAAAAATAAGACTTTGGTCAACCATCACAAGAAGAATGTTACTTAGCTCAACAAATATTTCTTGAGCTCCTAAGTTGTGGTACTCCCCTAAGTCATGGTACTCCCCTAAGGCGTAGTACTCCCCTAAGGCATAGTACTCTACTCCCCTAAGTGATTCCCCAGGAGGAATGGGTTCATTGCTACCTCCGTGCAGCCTGAGCTCGGCTCTGAGCAGGTCCTCCCATGTTAGCTCACCATCAGGAACCAGGCCAAGGCAGGATCAGAGGGACACCAGAGAGGCAGGTAAGCAGTGAGCACAGGAGCATGTGCTTAGGGCTGCCTCCCCAGAATATTCCCTTTTATAAGCGCTTAAGAGTAGTGACTTTATATTCCGTTGAGAGCAATACATGCCCAGATAAGAAATCTGGCCATCAGCCAGTAAAAGTTAGCTTTCTAGTGTTACCTATTAGATTTTTTTAATTACTTCTCTTGGTTCTGCCATGTGAGCATAGAGGCCCTGTGGCATCCTTGAAGAAAGGGAAGTAGACAGGGATCCAGATCCTGGCACCTGGATTTAGTGGCTGAGTGTCATAGCAGCCATGTCCATGAAATGGGATCAGACAAGAACAGAGATGTCATCATTAGCATCTTTTTTTTTTTTTTTTTTTTTTTTGAGACAGAGTATCACTTTGTTGCCAGAGTGCAATGGTGTGATCTCAGCTTACTGCATCCTCTACCCGCTGGGTGGAAGTTCAAGTGATTCTCCCGCCTCGGCCTCCCAGTAGCTGGGATTACAGGCATGCACCACCACTCTGGGCTATTTTTTATATTTTTAGTAGAGACAGGGTTTTGCCATGTTGGCCAGGCTGGTCTGGAACTCTGACCTCAAGTGATTTACCTGCCTTGGCCTCCCAAAGTGCTGGGATAACAGGTGTGAGCCACTGCTCTTAGCCTTATTAGTATAATTTTCATGGCACTTTATTTCCTTGCTCTCACCCAGTTCCATACAATGATTCAACTGATTGAACTTCAGCAGAGACAACACCATGGGCTCTGCTCCTCCCTTTCCAGCCAGGCAAGTGCTGCTGGCATTGCCCAGTAGCCACTATCCTCTTCCCACGGCACCACTGCCCCCAGCAGCCAGTGTTCTCCCTAGAACTTAGAGCTAATGTCATCTTCCTCTTGTGGTCTTTCCCAGTTCTCCTCCTTAGATGACTGTGAGAATTCTCACCTTTCGCTTAGCACAAAGCTCTTTCATGGTTGGCCCTGTGTTCTCTCCAGTGTCACTGCTACCTCCAGCTTTGCAGTGTCTGTGGGGCCCAGGAGGGGATGGGCCACAGAGAGCACAAATTCAGGAACTATGTGTCTTACCCGCCCATTGGGGGCAGTTCAACATCCCTCTCCTTTGTACATGCTCTGTGCTGCCCAGAATTCTCACCCACTTTCCTGATCCTGCCACCCCCAGCTTAGCCAGTTCCTACACTTTCTTCCAAAGGCATAACCAAGCATCACCTTTTCCTGAGAGCTTTCCCTCCCCACAGCCAAATTTAGATGCCCCTCTCTGGTCCTCCATCACGCTGGGCCTCACCTCTGCCACCACTGGTGCAGGTGTGTAAGACACATAGTTCCTGAATTTGTGCTCTCTGTGGCCCATCCCCTCCTGGGCCCCACAGACACCACAGAAGCAAAGCTGAGTCCCTGCCTCGATGGACGTACATGCTGGTGGCAAGACAGGAGCAAGTGCCTGTAATAGTCCATGAAGCAGATTCAGCCAGTAGACATGCAATGGGGCCGATGAACTTTTGAACAGTCCACATGAAAAGACCACCACCTGAGCAGCCCATCTTCAGCCCTCTGAATATGGAGAGTGGCTGCTGTTCCCTGTGCTGTCTCTTTGGTAACTGCAGTTGCAGCTCCTGACCAGCCTCCACCTTCACTCAATAAGAACTTTTTTTTTCTTTTTCTTTTTTATTGAGAGGGAATCTCGCTCTGTCACCCAAGCAGGAGCACAGTGGCACAGTCTCAACTTACTGCAACCTCTGCCTCCTGGGTTCAAGCAATTCTTGTGCCTCAGCCTCCTGAATAGCTGGGATTACAGGCACCCGCCACCACACCCAGCTAGTTTTTGTACTTTTAGTAGAAACAGGGTTTCACTGTGTTGGTCAGGCTGGTCTCAAACTCCTGACCTCAGGTGATCTGCCAGCCTCAACCATCCTAAGTGCTGGAATTATAGGTGTGAGCCACTGCACCTGGCCAAGGACTTCCTTTTTCTTTACAAACACAGAATAAAGATGAAACCCAGATAGTAAGTCTATCAAAAGGGTCTGTGATATCCTTTCTGGAAAGACATTTTATATTGAACCTAAAGTGAGGAGAGACATTTTAAAGGTTAAATCCTCTATCCAAACATTTTTTTTTTTTTTTTTTTTTTTTTTTGAGACAGAGTTTCGCTCTTGTTACCCAGGCTGGAGTGCAATGGCGCGATCTCGGCTCACCGCAACCTCCGCCTCCTGGGTTCAGGCAATTCTCCTGCCTCAGCCTCCTGAGTAGCTGGGATTACAGGCACGAGCCACCATGCCCAGCTAAGATTTTTTGTATTTTTAGTAGAGACGGGGTTTTACCATGTTGACCAGGATAGTCTCGATCTCTCGACCTTGTGATCCACCCGCCTCGGCCTCCCAAAGTGCTGGGATTACAGGCTTGAGCCACCGCGCCCGGCCTTCCAAACATTTTACTTTTAAGAGTTTCTTCTAAACATTTGAGCATTTTACTTTCCTTTCTTCAATTTAACTCCAAATCTGTATCTTTGGCTTCATAAAGCTCCTTCCTGGTCTTTAGGAGCTGGAAACTCAACAGAGCCAGCCATCGCCTTGTTTAGTGGGAGGGAGGTGGCGAGGCCGCCGTGAGGCGGGAAGCCAGTGCATTTCCCCCTGCACATTGCACGCGGGCTCAGAAAGGCCTTCCTGTCGGGGCTCCGAGGGATGCAAAGGCACTGAGCTGGGAGTCTGAAAACTTGTGTTCCAGACCCAGCTCTGCCCCTGCCTAGTCTTGTTCCCTTGGGCAAGTCCTTAAATGTCTGAGCTCCCATTTTTCCTGTGAGGTAAGGAGCTCGGTGGTGGGAGGCGGGCAGCATAGCAGAGGTTGCAAGTGCCCTGCTGGGTGGCCACCCACTGTGTGGCCTGGGCATGGGAGGAGCTCCTCTCTGCCTGCTTTCCCCACTCTGCTTATTTGTTCTACAATATTTATTGGACATCTGCTATATGCCAGGGTCATGCTGGAGGTACAGCAAGGAGCAAAACCATCTCAGCAGCTGTGTAGAGCCTCTCTTCTAATGGGGAGAATCGGCTAACAGGTGATCAATCAGGTGATAATGAGTCCTATGGTGATAATAGGGACAAAAGGCAGGGGTAGAGAAGACCGTGGTCAGGAGATGATAGTGCCTGCACTGCATGTAAAGTGCTTCAAGCCACGCCTGGCACCTGGGGAGCGCTCAGTAAATGTAATTTAAAATCTCTTCCCACTTTAAACCCTGTCTGAGAGTGAAAGGCAGGTGCCCTCCCTGGGGTAACTGGTCACTCAGCCACATGTGGTATACAGTTAGGTGTGTTCATTGCAGCCAGTGAGAAGCCTCCATGTGTGGGCACTGGCATGGCTGTTGTTACATGGTGGGTCTGTCCCAGCTGTGCAGGGGTACAGCTGTCCCTTGAAGAAAGGATCACGCATGCTCATGGTGCAGTGCTTGTATTCATCCTATAGCCAACACAGTGGCAGCAGCTTGCCACAGGTAATGACCAGTCTTCTAAGAAAAGGCAGCGTTCTCTAACTCAGAAATACCAGTCAGGCCGGGTGCATTGGCTCACGCCTGTAATCCCAACACTTTGGGAGGCTGAGGCGGGTGGATCACGAGGTCAGGAGTTTGAGGCGAGCCTGGCCAAGACGGTGAAACCCGGTCTCAAAAACAAAAGAAATACCAATCAGGCACCGTGGAGCTGCAGTCCTGCCACAGTTTGGGGATACTGGAGACTTTCCCTCCTTGTAGGGATTAGGGTGTCCCAGGTACCTCAACCCCAAGGGCACATGCAGTCTTTGCTGCCACCCATCTCCCCAGGTGACACACAGCTGCTGTCCTTACTGGCTGTGAGGCCTGCTACAGTACCCAGGAGGGCCTCTCCATGCCTGCGGTGTCCCTGGCTTGCTTAGCAGGCAGACAGAGGCCGCATCTTCCCAGGCAGTGCCGTAGTCAGTTGTGCCATTGCTCTGTTGTTTCCATTATGCTGAGTGGGTGACATGGATGCTGAGTGCTCCTGGCATCCGCCTTCACATACTCCGCCTGCCATCTCCAGTGCCCCCCAGGGCCTGAAATTCAGCCAGCTGCTATGCGAAAGTCACAGTCCATCCCTCCCATGCTGCCTCTGGATAACTTGGACAGAACCTTGGCACTGACCTTGACCGTTACAGGCTTCCCAGCATTGTGCTTCACCCAGCCCAGACGGCCAGTGTCCCTGCACTCCTGACACCCCACCCCACCTGCGTAAAGACATTCAGTAGTTCTCCACCCTATGCCAAAAGGCTAAACTCTTCTAAAGTGGTATGATAGTCTCCCACAACAACAGCACAGGCTTTGGGGCCTGGCAAACCTGTGTTGAGATCCCAGCCCCTGTACTCATTGGGCCTGTGACCATGACCCTAAAATTCTTTGAGCCTAGTCTTTAACTGTACAGTGGAGGCAATGCTACTACTTTGAAGGGGAGTTTGGCAGTATTGACACTTATGCAACACCTAGCACAGTTCCTGCCACATGGTGCAAACACTTAAAAGACAGCAGCCGTCCCCCTTTTCCTTCATAGTGCCTGACACATGGTAGGGCCTGGAGGAAAAGCTATTGAATAGAGTCATCCAAAGATGCACTATAAGAAGCCACTTGGCCAGGCACAGCGGATCATGCCTGTAATCCCAGCACTTTGGGAGGCTGAGGCCAGCAGATTGCTAGGTCAGGAGTTTGAGACCAGCCTGACCAACATGGTGAAACCCCGTCTCTACTAAAAATACAAAAATTAGCCCAGCATGGTGGTGGACACCTGTAATCCCAGCTACTCTGGAGGCTGAGGCAGGAGAATCACTTGAACCCAAGAGGCAGAGGTTGCAGTGAGCTGAGATCATGTCATTACACTCCAGCCTGACAACAGAGCGAGACTCCATCTCAAAAATTTTTAAAAAAGCCACTCTGGGTTCTGCCAATCCCCTACATCCCTCTGTTTGCTTCAGCCTAGTTCACCCTGATAGCAGAATGGCTGCCACAGATCCAGGCCTCAAAGCTATACCCCTCACCATCCTGAAGAGAGGATTGAGTTGCTTGAATCAGCCACTGTGGCCTAGCCCATTGCTAGGGATAGGGTCAGTTCCTCCCAAACAGCAGTGGGAGTAGTGGCCAGAGGTGAGGAGGACCAGCTGCACTGAGACAAGCCTTCCTCCCTCTCGGGCCATGGGTTTCTATCCGTACACTCATCCAAAAACAAGCAGATAGTCTCCCACAACACAGTATGTCTCAGTGGAGAAGCTCCTGGGGGCTCCCAGACTTGAGTTCCACAGCCAACTGAACTGTTGACTCTGGCAGAATTTAAATTTTTCGTGCTATAAGCAAGTCTCTGAATCTGATTGTGTTCTTGCCTTGTTTGTATGTCTGCTTCACATTGGTTTCATACTGGTTTCTGCCTTTCCCAGTCAACTCCACCAGTAAACGTGTGTCTGCTTTGCCTGATGTAGATATCTTTGCCTTCGGATGACTTCCTGGCACCTTCCTAGTGTTTATGTGTTGACTGCAATGTGGCCCCCAGTCTGGCTGGTGCCACCACTCTTTGCATCTAATTTTAACAACTGTGACTTTGCCCTCAGTGAAATTTGATTCTTACTGTCTTTGCAGGACGAGCCCAGGTTTCTACAAAAATGTGGTGAAGATTCAGAAGCATGTTACCTTCAACCAAGTGAAAGGCATTTTCGGCTTCACTGACAGTGACTCCATTGGTAAGGGGCCCACTGCTGCCTGTGGCCCACTCCCCATGCTCTTCAAAAAGGAGCGGAGTTGCTGTGAAATGTTACCATTTGCAAACTGTCTCTTTAAGTAGGACACCCAGGCATGGGTGGGTCATCGTCACCCTGGAACCTGATAAGCTAGTGTAAAGCATTGAGCAGCTTCTAAGGATGACTTTGGAGTTCCAGCAGCTCTGGTGGGACCCCAGTCAGTGTAGGGCGGCCTTGGGTGGAACCCAGGGGTGATGGAGAAGGACAGCTGGGTCTGCTGCCCATGAAGGGGCCTTCGAGTCTTTGTCTCCCTGGTCCTCAGTTTCCCCACATGTAAAATGAGGGCCTTGACTCGAGGTCTTCTGGAACCTTCCCACACCCGCCCTGCTCTCCTTCCATGGCTCCACCCCCCGCAGATCATGGCCGTAAATTTCCATGTGTCCTTCAGATGCATTGGCCTTGTCGACTTTTAGACTTTTGGTCCTTGAGACTTGTGGTTGGGCCTTCTGATCTCCTCCTCTGCTTGATTTTTGACGCATGGCTCCAGGCCTAGCAGGCCTTTGAGGCCTTCAATCATAGCCGCCAGCCGAGACAGCTCCTTGGAATGTGCTTCCCAGGCCCTCCTTGGAGAGCGTTTACCCTGCTTGGAGCTAGAGCCACAGTGGCATGTGCTCCACAGCAGCAGGGTCACGCTGGGCCAGCCGCATGCCCAGGGCCCAGAAACACTTGAGCTCACCCAGGGCTTGGGTGCTGCCACTCAATGGGGGCTGGCATGGCACCACTTGTCAGGGGCCATGGAGAGGTCAAAAGTTCTACTTCTGCAGGTCTAACGAAATACTAATGACAGTACTAACAGCAGCCACATCCAAAACACAAACGACTGTTTTAAACACCAAAATACATTCATCATAACTTAGGATAATTAGAGATGCAACAACCTGAATTACCAGTGGTTAGAGAATGCTTAGATTATATGATACATTGACAGGACAGAGTATACTCAGTAACCATATGGAGTGAAAAAGGCAGGGAAAAACCAGATACAGTGTGATCACAACAAAAATGCATACAGCAAATGGATAGACCGAGACACAATCCAGATACAGTGTGATCACAACAAATGCATACAGAAAATGGATGGACCGAGACACAATCCAGATACAGTGTGATCACAACAAATGCATACAGAAAATGGATGGACCGAGACACAATCCAGATACAGTGTGATCACAACAAAAATGCATACAGAAAATGGATGGACCGAGACACAATCCAGATACAGTGTGATCACAACAAATGCATACAGAAAATGGACCAAGACACAATCCAGATACAGTGTGATCACAACAAATGCATACAGAAAATGGATGGACTGAGACACAATCCAGCTATACAGTTTGCTCTTTCTACTTTTCCGTATTTTTTAGATTTTCTTTAACGATTACTTTATAATGGGGAGAAAACCTGTTTTTGTTCATCCGTTTTTAACTAAGCAGAACAGGAACTCATCTTGGGTATAAAAATATTTTTGCTCATTTTCAGGGAAGATCAGTTTTCCTGCCATCCAGGCCGCTCCCTCCTTCAGCAACTCATTCCCACAGATCTTCGGAGACAGGACAGATATCCAGTGCCTTATCCCATGTGCCATTGACCAGGTCAGCAGGCAGAACCAAGGCTCTCTAAGTCTGGGGCTTTGGCAGCAGATTCCTCTTAAACTCTTCAGCAGAGAAAGGAAGTGTTGAAAGATATGAAGGGCAGCCAAGCGGTGTGGCTCATGCCTGTAATCCCAGCACTTTGGGAGGTCAAGGCAGGCAGATCACTTGAGGCCAGGAGTTCAAGACCAGCCTGGCCAACATGGCAAAACCCCGTCTCTACTAAAAATACAAAAATTAACTGGTCGTGGTGGTGCACACCTGTAATCCCAGCTACTAACCTCGCTTGAACCAAGGAGACAGGTTGCAGCGAGAGCCTGGGTGACAGAGCAAGACTGTCTCAAAAAAAAAAAAAAAGGGAAAGAAAGTCAGGGGGTTGGGGGCAATGTGGGGGACAGCATTAGGACATACCTAATCATACGGGCTTAAAACCTAGATGATGGGTTGATGGGTGCAGCAAACTACCATGGCACAGGTATACCTAGGTAATAAACCTGCATGTTCTACATATGTATCCCAGAACTTAAAGTAAAATTAAAAAAAAAAAAAAAGAAGATATGAAGGGAGGCGGGAGTGAGTTTCTTCAGTTGGAAGCATGAGAGCCTCTGTGCAGATGCTCACGGGGACTACTCACAGCTGAACTGGCATGGGTTCCAGCCACCCTCATCAGGGTCCTTATTCTCCCCACAGGATCCTTACTTTAGAATGACAAGGGACGTCGCCCCCAAGATCAGCTATCCTAAACCAGCCCTGCTGCACTCAACCTTCTTCCCCGCCCTGCAGGGCGCCCAGACCAAAATGAGTGCCAGCGACCCCAACTCCTCCATCTTCCTCACCGACACAGCCAAGCAGATCAAAACCAAGGTGAGCAGAGGGCAGCCAGTGGGAGCAGAAACACGCCCTGGGGGCACATGCAAACACACATCACCACACAGTGTTTTGAGCCCCAGCCACCTTAGCCATGCCGAACTCCAGGACTGCCAGCTGTGCTCCCTGCAGAACTCAAGACAGCCTGTCCTTCCCAGATGAAGCAGGTGAATTTGTCTTGTGTCCTTTAATTTAGGGTAACATTTTGAATTTTTTTTTCTTTTTTTTCCTTTTCTGCTTTTTTACCAATACCGTTCTGGAAGCAAAGTCATGGCAGTTTCCTTAAAGTTATAGGTAGTGTGGATGTTATTAAACAGTGGAAAAGATTTGTGTATATTTCTGATCATCAGCCATGTTTCAGGGGCTGGGCCAGGTGCCTTATTTATGTTTTCTCATGTTTCATTCTCACTGGGAGATGGTGGTGCTGTTCTCTTTAAACATGAGATGATGAGGCTTAGAGAAGCTCAGCCACTTGACCAAGTTTCCCCCACTGGGAATCAGTGGCACTGCTCTCCTGGCCGTGAGCACCCATTACTAAGTGGGGGTTAGGAGCTGGTTTTGTCCCAGAGAGTGTTCTCACCGAGAGACACAGAATTGAGAAATGTCCTTCCACGGGACAATCCTGCTGGCCCCGGGAGGGATGCACACAGCAGGCACTCAGCAAACATTTGGCAGATCACTAGAGAAACTAAAAGGAGAAGTTACTCTGAGCTTCCTTATTTTGCAGGGCCCTAGTTCTGTTGCCTGTTTCCTCAACTGCCAGTGTATATATAATTGCCTCACTGTTAACACAACGCAGTTGACATTTTCTTTGGAAACAAGTGTGTGTTTGCAGGCTAGAAGATTGCAGTGGGAATGCTGCGAACTGTATTTGAGGCATGTCACGTGCCCTCTGAGTCACTGCCCCTGACCCTCCTGGAAAGTCCCAAGCAGGTTCTGGTTGACAATGGGGAAGCCTTTCATATCAAAACTTTCTAAGACATGGCCTCCACCAACTCTCTCCACTCAGTTGGAAGCTGGTATAATCGGGCCTTTTCTTTCCCTTTCACTTCTGGCCAGAACTTCCAGAGCACAGGGTGCAGAGTGGGGAGAGAAGTGCCAGTGGAAAAGTCAGCTGTTTTATTTTGCTTCTGAGAGTTGTTTTGAAAAAGTTGTTTATGGGGCTGGATGTGGTGGCTCACACCTGTAATCCAGTGTTTTGGGAGGCCAAGGCGGGTGGATCACAAGGTCAGGAGTTCAAGACCAGCCTGGCCAACATGGCGAAACCCCATCTTTAAAAAAGAAAAAGTTGCTTATAGCCAGGTGTGGTGGCTCATGCCTGTGATCCCCATACTTTAGGAAGCCATGGAAGGCGGATCATCTGAGATCAGGAGTTCAAGACCAGCCTGACCAACATGGTGAAATCCTGTCTCTATCAAAAATACAAAAATTAGCTAGGTATGGTGGCTGGCGCCTGTAGTTCCAGCTACTCAGGAGGCTGAGACAGGAGAATTGCTTGAACCCGGGAGGCAGAGGTTGCAGTGAACCGAGATCGCACCACTGCACTCCAGTCTGGTGACAGAGCGAGACTCTAGCTCAAAAGAAAAGAAAAAGTTGTTTATGAATCTGGGGCATTTATCATTCACTTAGGGAACAGCAAAGCCCTAGAGATGAGCAGTTAGCATGAGGTCAGGAAACACAGAGGCCTACAGACGGTCAACGAGCCTACAGGTGACTTGTGGGGCAAAACAGGGTCTGGCCAAGCCCTCGCTCTAAGTCCCCATGCCTGACTTCAGCTCCAAAATCAGAATCTCCACACTTGAGAAGAGGGCATATATACTCCAGCCTCCTCCTAAAAATAACAGGTTCAGCCAGGGTAGTGCTTGTAGTTCCAGCTACTCGGGATAATGGCTTGTGCCCAGGGATTCCAGGCTACAGTGAGCTACTGTTGTGCCTGTGAATAGCCACTGCACCCCAGCATGGGTAGCACAGTGAGGCCCCATCTCTAAAATTAAAAAAATTAAAATAGTAGCACAGTGCTGATGACTGAGGTAGCTTTGCTGAGTGAGTACCTGCCACCTACACGTTGTCAGCCTGTGTGATCTAACTGCATCCCAATTACCACCTTAGCTAGCCGTGTCCACTTGGCATCATTTCCTGTCACACAGAGTCGAACTGGTCACCCACTTCCATCATCTTAGTTGCTGACAGCAGTGCTCTGTACCCACCCCCAAGACTGCTCTCCCCCCATTTTCCTGTTGGCTTCCTGTAAGTCAGGCCTGGTGGGCTGCTTCCTGCATCACTGAGGATTGGTCATGTTAAGGAGGCAGAACTGAGCCAGCCACTCAGTTCTCCAGCTCCACCCAGAAGCCTGGTGTTCCAGAAGCCAGCCTGGTCCTGCCAATCCCTGTCACTTATGGTAGGTTCCTGACACTCTGGGCCTGGTTTCCTTCACCTGTAAGGTGGAGAAAGCACTACAGAGGTCAGAGGTCATTGGGTTGTTGGGGATAAAATAGGTGTGACAACCCTAATAGCCTCCATGGATGGCACATCTGCTGCGTGCCCACCATGGGACAAGGCACTTTGCCCAGGGAGGGGAGTGTGCAGGTGGTGATGAGTGCTGAAAACCGTGTGGCAGACACCAGTTGCCTTGTTCTCCTCTCAGATAAGGGACTGGGAACTGGCCTTTCAATACCCTCTTCAAACTGCCCCTGGAGCCTGGAGGCTGTGTTCTCAGACTTCCTTTCTGATGCTTTAGCTTCTTCCCCAGGGCCCAGCAGGGAGGGCTGTGGCCATCACACAGCCAGTGACTCCATCAGGCACTTCGGTGCTAGGAGAAACCAATACTAAGTGTTTTTTACTTCTTCCTGTTTATCGGTATGTTCCATAGTTTTTGGTTCTTTAACTTCTGTCTTTTTTTTTTTTTTTTTTTTAATGGAAAGGGAAGGTAAACATCCATTCATTAGCTTTTTTCTTTCAGCCCCACGGGCCTGCTCACCAGCCAGCCACACAGTGCCAGCCACTTGCCTGGGCCTTGCCCAAGCCTCACGTGACTGCTGCTTTCCCTCCCCAGCCTCTGGGCAGTGCTCCACCAATATGGAGACTGGTGCCTTTGCCTTACCACTCATCTTTTTCTTCTGCACGATCCCAAGTTATCTAGTTAGAAATCTGCTCTGGAATTCTTTTAAGGAGACTTACTAAACATATCAACTTAGAATTTGACTCTGCCCACCCTTTTTCCCATTTAAAAAAAGTAGCTGGGCACAGTGGCTCACACCTGTAATCCTAGGACTTTGGGAGGCCGAGGTGGGTGGATCACCAGGTCAGGAGTTCAAGACCAGCCTGGCCAAGATGGTGAAACCCTGTCTCTACTAAAAATACGAAAATTAGCTGGGTGTGGTAACGGGTACCTATAATCCCAGCTACTTAGGAGACTGAGGCAGAGAATTGCTTAAACCCAGGAAGCAGAGGTTGCAGTGAGCTGAGATCATGCCACTGTACTTCAGCCTGAGCAACAGAGTGAGACCCAGTCTCAAAAAAAATAGTTAAGGCTAGGCATGGTGGCTCACACCTGTAATCCCAGCACTTTGGGAAGACAAGGCAGGCAGATCACCTGAGGTCAGGAGTTTGAGACCGGTCTGGCCAACATGGTGAAACCCTGTCTCTGCTAAAAATATAGTTAGCCAGGGATGGTGGTTCATGCCTGTAATCCAAGCTACTTGGCAAGCTGGGGCAGGAGAATCACTTGAACCCGGAAGGTGGAGGCTGCAGTGAGTCAAGATCATGTCATTGTACTCCAGCCTGGGAGACAGAGCAAGATTCCATCTAAAAAAAAAAAAAAGTTAGAGGACCGGGCACAGTGACTCACACCTGTAATCCCAGCACTTTGGGAGGCCAAGGCAGGCAGATGACTTGAGCCCAGGAGTTCAAGACCAGACTGGGCTACATGGCAAAACCCGGTCTCTACAAAAAATACAAAAACAGCTGGTGGGGCACACTTGTAGTTTCAGCTACTCAGAAGGCTGAGGCAGAAAGGTAACCTGAGACCAGGAAGTCAAGGCTACAGTGAGCTATGATCGTACCACTGCACTCCAGCCTGGGCAACAGATTAGAGATCCTATCTTTAAAAAAAAAAAAAAAAAAAAAAATAGGGTGACATTTGTACATTGGCGGTTTCTCAGGTGATCATTGAAAGAATGTTGAAAGAGTTTTGCCTATTTTCTGGCTTTTATTAGCCCTAATTACTCCGTGATTATCTTCAACAATTCCTAGAAGTCATTGTGTTTCTGAGTTTTTCAGCTCTTACAGCTTTGCCTGTTTGTAAATGGAGACCTGTCTGCAGGCCCCTCTACCTGCTCACTTTTCGTGGGTTTGCCTTCCCTTACTGCCTTACCCTGTGCCTTCTTGTTCTGCTTTCCACAGGGACTGGGTGCTGCTTTCCTGTCCCATTGACACTGCGGGATAGTACCTATCCCAAAGAGCAGGCTGCCCTTCTTGCCATCTCCCTTATCGGAGGATGACTTACTCATCCTTTTTCTTTTATTTATTTATTTATTTATTTTTATTTTTATTTTTTAAAAAACAAAGGCTTGCTCTGTTGCCCAGGCTGGAGTGCAGTGGTGCAATCACAGTCCACTGTAACCTCAAACTCCTGAATTCAAGTGATCCTTCCGCCTCAGCCTCCCAAGTAGCCAGGACTACAGGTGGATGCCACCACACCAGCTAATTTGTTAATTTTTTTGCAGAGATGGGGGCTCACTGTGTCACCCAGGTTGGTCTTGATCTCCTGGCCTCAATCGATCCTCCCCCTCCCTCAGCTTCCCCAAATCCTGAGATTACTGGCACAAGCCACCATGTCTGACCTTACCCATGCTTTTTCTGAAGCTTGTCACCTGAAGAACTGTTCTCCCCCAGGTTTCAGTTCAGCTTTACCATTTCTATTCTCCTGTGTCTCTGAGAATAGAGGGGTTCAAAGCTCATCTACCCCCACCTCTACCCCCACCTCTCCTGCAGTGAGACCCCACCTCTTCTGCAGTGAGCCCCACGGCAGCTCCTACCCAGCCTTCACAGGAAGAACAGCAGTGAGCCCCCTGCCAGTGGTGCGCCTGGCCTTTCTCTGGTCCAGAATCTGACAGCACTCACACCTTTGACTTCTGCACTTGGGCTTCTAGCCAGTGTCCAGGCACAGGACGAGCAGGACTGATGAGCGTTTCTGTGTCCTCTTCTGGTGCAGGTCAATAAGCATGCATTTTCTGGAGGGAGAGACACTATCGAGGAGCACAGGCAGTTTGGGGGCAACTGTGATGTGGACGTGTCTTTTATGTACCTGACCTTCTTCCTCGAGGACGACGACAAGCTCGAACAGATCAGGAAGGTGAGCAGGGGGCCCCAAGGACCCACGGCCCGCCTCCAGCCACCCGCTCCTGCCCATGGAGTCTGGAAGGCTCCAGCAGCCGGGCGTGAAGGGTTGGTCGGAGGTGCTCAACTGAAACAAGGTGAAAACAGTAGAGTCATCCTCACGTTTTTGAGACAATATGCTCAGAAACCTAATGAACAAATCACGAAAGAGCAGATATAATTACTATTCATTTAGTAGCCACACAAAACAGTCTTGCCTTACTAGTCATCAGAGAAGTATCAGTTAACGTGATCGAAGCTGAGACAGTTCAGTATGGAATTGGTAGGGCTCTTGTGTTGCCATTGACTGTTTTAATGATTGTGAAGCAGATGCTCCAAGCCCACTCGTGAGCAGAGTGTTTATCAGCACAGTCTCCGCGAGCAGTTTGATACTGGGTACAGAGAGCCCAAAAATGTTGAGAGCTTTGCCTCAGGTTTTCCCATTCTTGAATTTTTTCCAAGGAAATAATCCTGAATAAGAAAAAGTTGGCCGGGTGCAGTGGCTCATGCCTGTAATCCCAACACTTTGGGAGGCTGAGGCAGGTGGATCACCTGAGGACAGGAGTTCAAGACCAGCCTGGCCAACATGGTGAAACCCCATCTCTACCAAAAAAATACAATATTAGCTGAGCATGGCGGTTCATATCTGTAGTCCCAGCTACCCGGGAGGCTGAGGCAAGAGAATCACTGGAACTCAGGAGGTGGAGGTTGCAGTGAGCCGAGATCGTGCCACTGCACTCCAGCCTAGGTGACAGAATGAGACTCCATCTAAAAAAAGAAAAAGTTTTCTCCACACGTGATGTTGAAAATGATCATAGCAAAAAGTTCCACACAGACTTGATAAAACAGAGGAAATGTTAAGTTAGAATTGTTACAGGGTAGACTATTATGCAGGCATGAACTATTTAAGAGTGTTCATATGCAGGGCATGATGGCACACATCTGTAGCCCCTGCTACTTGGGAAGCTGAGACAGGAGAATCCCTTGAGCTCAGGAGTTCAAATGCAGCCTGGGCAACATAGCAAGACCCTCATTTCTTTAAAAAAAAAAAAAAAAAAGTTTTAGTGACACAGGAAAATATGTCTATGACAGTGAAAAAAGGATACCAAATGAAAAACTCAAGGAGAGGTTAACTATGTTTAAATGAAACATATAGGTAAAGAAATGTAAAGAAAATTCACTAAAGTGGGCCCCACCTTTGGGCATTGGAATTTGTAGGTGATATTTTCTTTACTTTGCTGCTGCTTTGTGATTTGGGTACTTTATTAAATTTGTTTAATCAGCATGCACTACAATCAGAAAAAGAGAAAAAATTAGCAAGATTTTACAGAAGCCATAAGGCTTCCAGGAACTGTTGTCATTTAGTGCTTGGGGGAACAGACCCTAGTGTCACTGGAGGTAGGGACTGCCCTCCCCATTGGCCCTTCCAGTGTTAGAGACCAAGTCATGGTTACCGTCAGAGCCAGGTTTCTAGCCGTTTTAGGAAAAGTGTAGCTGAAGGCATAGGGTATTGTTGTGGTAACAACAGATCTCACTTTTGAGTGCCACCCACATGCCAGGCTCTGCATGGGTGGTGTATGCTGAGGCAGGAAGGAGCCACTCAGGGCATGTGGAGCCATCTCTCACCATGGCTGTCTCCCTCCGGGTAGGATTACACCAGCGGAGCCATGCTCACCGGTGAGCTCAAGAAGACACTCATAGAGGTTCTCCAGCCTTTGATCGCAGAGCACCAAGCCCGGCGCAAGGAGGTCACAGACGAGATCGTGAAAGAGTTTATGACTCCCCGGAAGCTGTCCTTCGACTTTCAGTAGCACTCATTTTACATATGCTTATGCAGAGAATTGATTTCTCAATAATCCCAGCCCAGTCAAAGCACCGCCACTTGTAGGCTTCTGTCTCATGGTAATTACTGGGCCTGGTCTCTGTAAGCCTATATGTTATCAATACTGTTTCTTCCTGTGAGTTCCATTATTTCTGTCTTCTATGGGCAAAGCATTGTGGGTAATTGGTGCAGGCTAATATGCAGGGTCAGATAGAGAAGTCCAGCTGTGAGTCTCTCCCCAGAGCAGCCCCAAGGAGGGGAGCCTTTGGCTAGAAGTCCATGGGTCACCCTGTTCCAGTCTGTAGGGGACTCCGAAGCTTCCAAGTATACTCTTAAAACCCACTCTATTTAAAAATACACATTCTGTGTATGCATATATGGAATTGAAATGTCATTATTGTTAACCTAGAAAGTGCTTTGAAATATTGATGTAGGGAGGCTAATGAGCACAAGATGTATTTCAGCCCATGCCCCCAACAAAAGAAATTGATAAGAAAAAGGTTTGCTATACATTTGACTAAGAAATCACCCAGCTTTAAAGCTGCTTTTAACAATGAAGAGGGAAGAGTTGGGCAGTTTTGATTAAACTGAGACTCGGGGTGAAATTTGCCGGTTTACTGAGCCCCAGACCATGCATGTATTCCACTCCAGCAATCATGCTCACTTTCTTTGGCAGACCAGTGCTTTCCTGCCAGATGACCCTAGACTGGCTGTCCTGCAAAATCAGGGTGGCTTTTCTCCTGACCATGTCCGATGCCAAGGACTCCTAGCCTCGGCAGATGCTTCATTTTGACCTTTGGCTGCAGTGGAAGTCAGCACAGAGCAGTGCCCTGGCTGTGTCCCTGGACGGGTAGACGTAGCTAGGGAGAAAGTCACAGCAGCAACCCTTGAGGCCCTCACGGGTGTCTGGACAGGCCACATTTCATGGCACGCTGTGTGCAGGCCTGGAAGAGCGAAGCCGAATCTCAGGGACGCCCTTGGTTGATGTGTCTGGGTCTCCTCTGGAACACTCTGCCCTCCTGTCACCTGCTAGAGTGAATAAACTTCCTTGGCTCCCACTCTTGCTGTGCTCTTGTCTGGGAGGTATGGGGAGGGAGCAGAGGCCCCTTCTCTTACCCCTCCATGGATGGCTTTGAGTCTGCTGGAGTCAAGATTTGGGGATGAAAATGCTCAGTTCCGGGAACCCCACAGTGCTGTGTCACAGGCTCCCAGGAATGGACTTGTGCTGGGAAAGCTCTTAGCAGAATCCCACTGCAGGCTCCCTCTCAACCGCATTTCACTTTTCTGGCAGCTGGTGGAGAACACAACAGAGGTTGTCCTCGCTTTTCGGAGGAGGGGCTGGTGTGGGCTGCTTGGTGATGCTGTGGAGTGATAGGGAGCACAGGCTAGGAGCCAGCCTGGGCCCCATTCACGTGAGGCCCATGGCAGAGGCCGAGCTGCAAGGCAGCCCTGGGCTCATTCTACTGGCCCATCCTCATTTTGCAAGTGGGGAAACTGAGGCTTAGGAAAAAGGAACATGACTTGTCCAAGCCCATAGGGTGACTCTGACACAGTACGTCTGTCCTGACTCTTGGTGCTTCTTTCTCCACGTACAGAGGGACTGATTTACAAATGAGGGAACTAAGGTTCCCACCCTGGGAGGCTAGAGGCCTGGGTTCAAGTCCCACTCAGGTACCTGTGTGCAGCATGACCTTACCTAGGCCTCCTCTCCCAGCTTTGACTCCTGGTGGGCTGGGCCCCCGTCCTCCCTCCCAGGCCCAGCCCCTGCTCACCTACCTGGCTGGCTATGACCAGTGAGGGTGAGCCACCCACAGAGGCCATGTAACTCAGTAGCCTGTTGCCCTGAGCAACTAATATGACTTCTTGTAGCTCTGCTGCACCTTTGATGCAGGTGCAGTGAGGGGTGACAAGTGAAGTCAATGACAGCTGCTACTGTCATTGTCCACCTAGCCAGAGCGTCCATGGGCAGGGCCCGGGTGGGGCCTTGGACCCAGAGAGGAGTGAGCCAACAAAGATGGGCGTCTCCCCTCACAAGCTGTGTGTGATTCTGTCCAGGTGACTTAACCTCCCAGTACCTCCATCCCCTTCCCTGTAAAAAGCAGTGATGCCTCCTGTTTAGGGTCTTAGGAGGGGTGCCCTGGGTCCAATACTCAGTGCCCAAGGCCACTGCTGGTCAGGGCACAGGAGAGCCGCACATCTCCCACACCTCCCCCATTTTGCTAAAAACTAGTGGTTTGTAAGAGAAATGTTCCCTGAAGGACATGGGCACATCTGGATCACAATGGGCAGGTTGCAGTGGCCCCGTGGGTGTTTGGGGATGAGGCGTGAGGCCAGGTGCCAGCACCACGTGGTGCCATACGCTCTGCCAGAGGAGCACTCCTGCTCCAGCTGGTAATATCCACTTGTCAGACAGATATGCCCAGCTCAGCCTCGCTGCCCTGTGGCCCCATGCCTGGAGGGGAGACCAGCGGAGGCTGCCTGAAAGGGGATGGTGCCTGAAGAGCACACAAAACGGCACTGGGTGGGGAAGCAGGGTCCAGGGCGGAGGGTGGCTGGGCACACGTGGCAGCTGCGGAACAGCTTGCTGCTCCGGGACAGCGCTCTCAGTGAGCAACAGGCCTGCCTCTGGTCCCCAGCACCCGCCTGCAGCACCCACAGATGTGCCCTCCCCAGGGTCACACTGGCTGGGCCTTAAGGCCCAGGACTCTCTGGTCATTACCATAGAGGTTGTAGAGACAATGAGGACAGGGGCCCTTCCTGCAAACCCCCTCCCCAGTGACAGGCAGAGCCAGCTGCTCAGTGACACAGGCTTAGGGAGAGCCAAAGGCCCCCCACCTCCCAGAGTGCAGCCACCTCCAGAGCCGGGCCAGGAGTGCTGCCAGAAACCCTCCTGCCAAGGCTGACCAGGTGGGGTCTTCTCAACAAAAATGGTCCCAAGATCAGTGTTCGATGAACAGTGGAAACCTGTTAGCAGCTTTCCTTTCCCAGCATTTGGCCAGAGCATCTCAGCCTCTGTAACTCCTAAGCTGGACACACTTCCAGGAATCTACTGCAGGACTTCGTTCATTCACTCATTCATTCGCTCACTCACTCATTTGTCCCACACCCCCTGAGCAACCACTGTGCACCAACCCTGGAGCTGAATGGAGTCCTTGCACGGCTCGCAGGTTCTTGTAGCAGGGGAGAGGGAGGCGAATGACCACACACCCAACCAAGGCCCCCAGGGAGCAGAGCAGGAGATGCCTGGGAGCAGCGCAGTGGTCAGACAGGGATAGCTTCCTGGAGGAGGTGGTACCTGGAGTGTGGAGCCAGCCAGGCAGAGCAGGGGAGGGTGTTCCTGGCAGAGGGCCCAGGGCATAAGGTCAGGTACCCACAGCATCACATGTACAGGGACTGGCATAATGGGAGCAGACCCAGGACGGGGGTCTACCCCTTATTCTGGGAGCAGAAGAGTTTCATTCGGCAGAACGCAGGACATCGTTCAGCCCACAGACACAGTCAAGGTCAGTGTTCGTGAGTGAATATAGTCAATGCAGGTGGCCTCTGGCCCTGCCAGCCCTAACCTCTGATAGCCCCCATCATTGGAAGCCATGTGGTGCCAGGAGTTGGGTGCCGGAGCCTCAGAAGCTCGAGTCCGCCCACCCCTCACTGATGCATGAGTGTAGGCAAGGCCCGCTCCCTCTCAGAGCTGTCTGCTCAGCTGGCATCTGTAAGTGAGCTGTGCAAGGTGCCAGGTGCCCTACAGACAGCCCCTCTGGAGGGGCGGCTCACAGGCAGGGCAGGCGGTAGGGCCTGGCTGGAACCAGTTTCCACTCTGAAAGCGGGTAGGATTGGACAGGGGTGGTAAGGAGAGCAAGTGCCCTGCTGGACATCCCGGTGAGGCAGGACCTGGCACCACAGGCCAGGCCCCACGCCAAGAAGGCCGAGAGGGTGGAGCCCGCCGGAGTGCCACACGGGGTCTCGGTGTGCCCATTGGCACAGTGGGAGCACTGGCAGCTCGGGTGTGGAGGGCTCGTCCGACAGGAAGGGAGTGGGCAGGGCCACGGCCCCACACCTCCCAGGACAGGCAGGCAGGCCTCACGGAGCGCAAAACTGCTGGGCGCAGGGAATGGTCAGCCACGGCCATGGAGCCACAGCCCTGAACATCCTCAGAAACATTTTATTGACAACAGTTCCCAACAGTCTTTGGGGTCTTTAAGTGGCAGGTGCAGCATCCGCAGGCAGAGTGAGGGCTCCTGAGGAACCTCACCCCAAATTCCCTAACCAGGCGAGGATGGCCACCCCAGGCACCTGCCAGGTGGGCATGGCAGCCCCAGCAGTGCCCTCCTGGAGTAGCCTGCTGCGGGGAACGAGCTGGGCCTGGAGCCCTCAGTCGTGGTGCCAGCCCAGCTCCTGCTCCCCACCCTGAGGCCCCCAGCCTGTGGGGAACCCCTGCCTGCAAGGGATGGTTCATGAAGACACAGGAACAACAGTGGGGGTGAGGGTCCGGGAACAGGGCAGAGAGTGACTAAGCGCACACTTGACTCCCTGGAGGGGTGCTCCAAAGATGTGGGAGATGGGGGCAATGGGGAAGCTGGAATGAACAACTGACTCCATGAGACACATGCCTTCATCAAAGGGGCCCACTCCTCCCTGGCTCCTGCCACCGCAGGCCAACCCTGGGCTGATGGCCGGGGGGCCCCTCATCCTGAGGTCAGTAGCTGGGCAGGCCAAGCTCAGGCCTCGGCCAACGCGCTGCAGGGAGGCTCCCTGTTGTCCTGGGGAATGGCCTTGTGGGGTACTGACCCCAGCCATGCGCCCTCTTGCCTCTTCCAGCCACTATGACCTCTGGCAGCTGCCAGCGGGTGGGCCTCTGGGCGTGGGGATCAGCTATGTAAGCAGACCCCGGGTGAGCCTCAGCACCGCTTCATAGGCGACAAAGACCACCATGTTGACGGGGAAGGCGCGGGCACAGTTGATCAGCAGCCCCTTGAAGAGGACCCGGGGCCCCTCCTCACGCACACTGGTCACCATGCAGTGCAGGAGGCCCCGGTAGCGCCGCTGGCCCTGCCCGTCGGCCTGCAGTCTCGACTTGATCACATCCATGGGGGTGGCCACAGCCCAGGCCAGGACCCCCGCACAGCCCCCGGCCACCAGCACACCCAAGACATCTGCAGAGGGACCGCAGTGCCTTGACTGGGAGCCTGATGGGGCACCCGGGGCAGAGGCCCAGCCGCAGTGCGCCCTGGACTCCCTCTACTGGCCCATCCTCATTTGCAAGTGGCTTAGGAGAGGGGAACGGGACTTGTCCCCAGACACACACTGTGACACAGTAAGTCTGTCCTGACTCTTGGTGTTGGGGGGAACTGAAGAGCCCACCCTGGGAGGCAGCAGGCTGGGTTCAAGCCCCCACTCAGGCACTGGTGGACACCACGACTTCACCTTGGCCTCCTCATCCCGCCGGGCGCCCTGCCCTGCCAGGTCCCAGTCCCTGCTCACCTGGGTGGCTGTGGCCAGCGGGGCTGAGACACTCGCAGAGGACAGCGTAGGAGAGGAAGTAGGTGGCAAAGGAGTGGCCGTCCCGCAAAAGCAGGGCCGAGCTGCCCTTGTAGAGGCCACGCAGCCCCTCCTCACGGGCCACCGTGGCCAGGCAGTGCAGCGGTCCGCGGTATTTGGGCTCTGGGCAGGCAGCGGGCACAGCTGAGGGCCCCGAGGCCGAGAGCCGCCGCTGCTGTGTCTGTGTCTGCGTCTGCAGGCGGACTTTGGCCACCTCAGTGGGTGATGTCAGGAACACCTGGAGCGGAGGAGGAGGCGGGGGTCAGACGGCACCCGTGGCTCTGCCCGCAGCCTGGACGTGGCCTCCCACCAGCCTCATGTTGCCCACAGCGACCTCAGGAGCTGGGGCCCCGAGACCCTGTAGGCTGGCCCAGGGCTGGGGAGCCACAGGGTCCGAAGCCAGCTCTGCCCACCCAAGGCCAAAGCCCATGCTTCGTTCAGCAACCACATCTCTCCTCACAGGCCAGCCTGCCCAGCTTCTCCCAGGAAGTGGTAAGAAAATGTCCGTGACCCAGTTTCAAGAACGTAATTATGCCGGGCGCGTTGGCTCAAGCCTGTAATCCCAGCACTCTGGGAGGCCGAAGCGGGTGGATCACGAGGTCGAGAGATCGAGACCATCCTGGTCAACATGGTGAAACCCCGTCTCTACTAAAAATACAAAAAACTAGCTGGGCATGGTGGCGTGTGCCTGTAATCCCAGCTACTCAGGAGGCTGAGGCAGGAGAATTGCCTGAACCCAGGAGGCGGAGGTTGCGGTGAGCCGAGATCGCGCCATTGCACTCCAGCCTGGGTAACAAGAGTGAAACTCCGTCTCAAAAAAAAACAAAAACAAAGACAAAAAAAAAACGTAATTAATGGCCAGGCACAGTGGCTCACACCTGTAATCCCAGCACTTTAGGAGGCCAAGGCAGCAAATCGCCAGGTCAGGAGTTCAAGACCAGCCTGGCCAATATGGTGAAACCACATCTCCCCTAAAAATACAAAAATTAGCCAGATATGGTGGGGTGCGCCTGTAGTCCCAGCTACTCAGGAGGCTGAGGCAGGTGAATCACTTGAACCTGGGAGGTGGAGGTTTCCATGAGCTGAGATCACACCACTGCCACTGCACTCCAGCCTGGGTGACATATCGAGACTCTGTCTCAATAAAAACAGTAATGGTCACTGAACATACTGGCTGCCACTGTGGGAACTCATTCATGTTGGACTCTACATACGTGTGCTGGGGGCTTTACCCTCATGATCTCACTGAATTCTCATCATGCCTCTTACAGATGAAGAGACAGAAGTTCCAAGAGTCTCCCTTGCTTGCCCAAGGTTGCTCAGCTCACAAGAATCAGAGCTGAGAGCTGGGCCTGATGGTCTGGAGCCCTGGGCCAGGCCTTCAGCATTGGGCTGTTCCAGCTGGCTCTGTGCCATCACCACATGTGGAAGTCTGTCTTCCCCACTAGAGTGAGGGCTCCCTGAGGGCAGGCAGGCACTGTGGATGGTCCATGCGCAGTTGGGGATGGAGGAATGCCTGAGTTCAGCAACAGTCAATTGTGTTCAGGCATCTCCGTGCCCGGAGCCATGAGCTCGGGACCTGCCTGTTCAGCTCCCCATGGTGGCTTCTAGGTGACCTTCTGATTATGACAGGGAGAGTCCCTTTGGTCACAGCCCCCTTCCCCAGGGGGCCGTGCTGGGCAGAACAGCATCGACCCCTCATCTGTGTGCAGCCTGGGCAGGATGCCAGCTCCTCTCCCACAGCCCCGGGCTCCATGTGTGGCCTCCACTGTCTACCCTCATCGAGCCTCTGTTTCCCCATCTGCCAGGGTGGACAACCTCTCAGACCCCCAGAGTCTCCCTTGGGCCTTCCCAGCCCAGCTGCCCCTACTCACCCGGACGAGGCCAGAGGCACATCCCGAGAGCGTGATGTCAGCCTTGGTGGGCTTGGCGTCGGGGCTGCCGTACCGGAGCCGGCAGATGTGTGCCAGGCAGTGGCAGTAGGTGCCAAAAGACACAGAGGAGACCAGAGAAACTGTGCATACGGGCAGCGAGAGGCCGCGGTAGAAGCCCCACACCTAGCAGACAGGGTCAGGATCAGGCCAGGGCCCTGCCAGAAGGAGGAGCCACCTGAGGGAGCCCACACTCAGCCCTGCTCCACCATTCGCTTTAGGACATTGGGAAGGTCATTCATGGCCTCAGGACCTCAGTTTCCTCTGCTGTACGATGGAGGTCACGAGGGGGGACCTGTAGAACCAAAGGACCAGGCCCAACCCAGGGCAGCTGCTTGGTGACGAGTAACTTTTTATTTTTTTGGAGACAGAGTGTTGCTCTTTTGCCCAGACTGGAGTGCAGTGGTGCGATCTCAGCTCACCACAACCTCCGCTTCCGGGGTTCAAGCAATTCTCCTGCCTCAGCCTCCCAAGCAGCTGTGCCTGGCCCCCCCTACAGGTGCCTGGCCCCCGCCAACTAATTTTTATATTTTTAGTAGAGACAGCGTTTTACCATGTTGGCAAGTCTGGTTTCGAACTGCTGACCACAGGTGATCCTCCCACCTCGGCCTCCCAAAGTGCTGGGATTACAGGCATGAGCCACTGCGCCTGGCCTGACAATAAACTATTAACAGCATGTTCTGCCACTGCTGCTTTCACGAGCTAGCACCTGGCCTGCACCAAGCCCCAAGTCCATTTTAAAGAATGTCCCCAAGTCCTGCCTCTGGACGGGCCTCTGAGCCAGACCCTGAAGCCTCCACCCAACACTGCCTTCAAGGGGTGCCTGGCCTGGAGGAGACAGAAATGTAGTGATGGGTCCCTCCTTTGATCTTCAAAGGCCTGAATGCTACCTCTAGACCAGGCGTCCCCAAACTACAGCCCACGGGTCGCATGCGGCCCCCTGAGGCCATTTATCCGGCCCCCCGCCGCACTTCAGGAAGGGGCACCTCTTTCACTGGTGGTCAGTGAGAGGAGCACAGTATGTGGCGGCCCTCCAACGGTCTGAGGGACAGTGAACTGGCCCCCTGTGTAAAAAGTTTGGGAACACCTGCTCTAGACCCTCTACTGGAGGTGGCAACCTCCTTCTGAGGCCCGTCTAGCTGCCAGGTACCCCAGCTCCAGTCCTCAGAAGAACCCATGAGATTGGCAGAACTATTCCCATGAGGAAGGTGAGAGAGCTGAGACCCGGAGGGGAGCCCGGCATCAACTGCTGGGCAGTGGAGGCAGGCCCGGCATCCATCCCCTCCCTGCCTCCCTGCCGTCCCCTGGCCCCAGACCTACTCGCTCTCGGTGATAAGTGTCCCGGATACAGTGCCAGATGCCTCTGTACTGTGGCTCCGTCTGGATCCTGACCTGTGTGTGGGAGAAGTGGGCTTCAGGCAGGGGCAGCTCCAGGCCTCGGGCAAGGTCAGCAGGTCCTGGGGAAGGGGAAGAACCACCCTCTTGATTGTCCCAGCCACGCTGGACTGTGGGCACAGCAGGGACAGGGAACCTTGTATTGGACGAGAAACCTCAGGCTCAGGGGTGAGAAAGTGGGACTGACATAGTCCCAGGGGCTATGGGGAGCCATTGAAGGTGTTTGAGCAGGAGAGGGCTGGGTCTGTTTAGCATTCTAGAAAGTCTTCTGGCCATGGACGGGTGCAGGGGCCTTGGGATGGCTTCGGGCTGGCTCCTGCCGCACCTTCACTGTGTCCAGGGGGTAGCCCACAGCAACACCGCAGACTCCTGGAAGGAAAGCAGAGGCCCACAGTGAGGAGAGTGGGGCTGGTAAGCAGTTCGAGCCCATTGCAGGGAAGAAGAGGCAGGGTGCACGTTGGCTGGGCTCCCTGAGAGCCGACCCATGTCCGGCCCTTCTGGTCTGCACCAGGTCTCATCAATCCTGAGGGGACCCCCGTTTTACAGATGAGGAAACTGAGCCTCCAAGTGGCTGCTGCCCTTTGCCAGCAAATTCCCCTTCCCTGAGTCCAGGCCCGGAATTGCCACATCCTCGCTGCCTTGGGCATCACGTTCCGGGACAATGTCTGAGCTGACCCAGGCTGGGCCATGTCTCTGAGCCAGGCAGACCTTGCCCTTGAGCTGTCAGTCCCTGGAGGGTTTGCCTGTGAGCCAGGTGGTAACTGTTTCAGCTGCCTGGGTGGAAGGAGGAGGAGGCACAGCCTGGGCAAAGGCCTGGAGGAGGGAAGCCCAAGCCCACACTGCGGCTTTGCGAGGAGTCAGGACTGCCTGGAACCACAGGTGTCTGTGGAACAGAGGGCTGGAACTCCACACCTTTCAGAGAGGCCTCAGGTAGCACCGCCACAGGGAAGTCAGAGGGGAAGCAGGCATGGCCCGGGGGAAGCATTCTCTCTCCTGAGGGACAGTGGTAAAGACAACAGGCACATGGGGACTGTGACCCAAGTGTGGCTTGGACAGAATGATCCTTTTTTTTTTTTTTTTTTTTTTTTTTGAGGTGGAATCTTGCTCTTGTTGCCCAGGCTGGAGTACAGTGTCGTGATCTCAGCTCACTGCAACCTCCGCCTCCCAGATTCAAGCAATTCTCCTGCCTCAGCCTCAGCCTCCCAAGTAGCTGGGACTACAGGCGCACACCACCACACCAGGCTAATTTTTGTATTTTTAGTAGAGACAGGGTTTCACTGTGTTAGCTAGGATGCTCTCGATCTCTTCACCTCATGATCTGCCTGCTTTGGCCTCCCAAAGTGCCGGAATTACAGGTGTGAGCCACCAAGCCCAGCCAAGAATGGCTCTTCTCTACCCTCCCATACACCTCACCGGACTCGTTCTCATCCGTCAAAGCCCTGCCACAACACCACCTCCTCTGTGGAGCCCGCTGGCCTGCCTCTGTGCCTGGAACATGGCAAGCAGAGCCCTGGTCACATGGCCTGGCTGCTATTGCATGCCATCGCCACCTCCAGAACAGGAGTTCTCCAAGGACATGGCCCAGGGCTGACACCCCATGACCCAGGGCCATGTATAGACCAGGAGCCCTTCACACAGACCTTCCCATGGCTCCCGAGGGAAGATGCCAGACTCAGGAGTCCTTTCCAGTTGTGTGACCTCAGGCAAGTCCAGGCGCTTCCCTGAGGAAAGGAGTGGCTGGCCCCAGGCTATCGCCTAGCAGGGGCTCAAGCAGGGCTAATGAGGCCCGGTGCAGTGGCTCACGCCTGTAATCCCAGCACTTTAGGAGGCTGAGGCGGGAACATCACTTGAGGTCAGGAGTTCAGGATCAGACTGACCAACATGGTGAAACCCTGCCTCTACTAAAAACACAAAAATTATCCAGATGTGGTGGCACACACCTATAGTCCCAGCTACTCAGGAGGCTGAGGCAGGAGAATCACTTTAACCCAGAAGGAGGAGGTTGTAGTGAGCTGAGATCACACCGCTACACTCTAGCCTGGGCGGCAGAGCGAGACTCCATCTCGGGAAAAACAAAAGAAAGCAGGGCCCTGCCTTCTCCCAGGCCCAGAGCTGGGCTGCTCTCCCAGCCCCCATGCTGTTCCCAGAAGTACTGACGCCACCCATTGCTGTTTCACAAGACCAGCAAGGCCAGGGTGCCCCCTCCAAACAGCCCCCACAGCCCTTAGGTGGAGCTGAGCCTGGGTCCCAGGGCTGGGCTGTCTCCCTGGATCAGTCTTCCACCAGGTCCCCTTCCCAGGGAGGGAGAGCAGTTTCTGCAGCAGAGTTTGGCCTGAGAAGCAGGTTCTGGAGGCCCAGCCAGGCGCACGCAGCCCGCAGGGCAGGTGGAGCTGGCTCGCCAGGCCTCTTGCTGTCCTCTGCCTGCCCCCTCCAGTCCCTGCTGCAGGCCCCAGGCCCCAGGCCCCAGGCCCCATCCTCCCTACCCATCTCCCTGGCCCTCTCTATCCTCTCCTGGGGTCTTTCTTCCCTACCAGTGACTCAGGCATCCCTCCCCACAGCAAGGACTCCCAGCCTCCCTGACTCTGCCTCCTGAGCAGCCTCCATGCCTGGGCCACAGCCCCATCCCCAGCCTGCCCTCAGCCTCCTGTCTGAGCCTCCCAAGCCAGTGCAGCCCTCAGGCCTTGCAGCAACCCTTACCCAGCCTCAGTCTCCCAGGAGCCTGCTCTCTGCTCATGGTACCCATGGCCCACACCAGGTCCTGGCAGATCCTGCGGGCAGGGGAGCTCCTCAAAGCACCCCCACCCCCGCTGCCCAGCACCTTCCTGGGCCTCAGCTCCTCCTGCCAACCCGGGAACAGCAGCGCCCCCATGGTCCCCCATCCTGTTACCTCCAATGGCTCCAGCGACAAAATCCATGAACAAAGTGTGGTGGGGAGGCCCTGGGTCTGCCTGTCTGAGAGGGCTCTGGTGCCACTGGGGTGGCCTCAACAGCTCCCAGCTGGCCCCTCTCAGATCTTAAATACCTGTGGCGGGGGAAGGGACCGGAATCAGATCCTACTGAGGCCACGCGTCACACAGCTGGACTCCCTCCCCCTCTGCCCCAGGACCCTTGTCCCAGTGCCCTTGGGACCCAAGTGTTGGGCAAGTATAGGAGAGAGCATGGGAGGTGGCAGGCCCCAGGGAGCAGGGTCACTGCCCACTATGTCCAAACACCTCCCAGGGAGGTCCAGAGATGGGGCTTTGACAGCTCCCACCCTCCAGGTCCAAGCTTGGGCCTTCACTGTGTCCCCTGGACTTCCCTGACTCCCCTGGATTTGCTCAGGACCCCCACCCAGGAAACCTGCAAAGCTCCTTCACTTACTCACTCAACAAACACTTCCTTCCCTGAGGCTACACCCAGGCCAATGAGAGCCAGTGCCTGTCCTCAAGGACAGTTGGCAGGGACGGAGGGGGTGTGGGGGACGGGCCTGAACCCAGGAACAGCACCCACCATCTGCTCTCACCCTTCCCACTGCCCCAGCCCCCTGTTGGCTGCTCTGTGGAAATGTGTCTCCCCGGACCCAGAGGCCAAGGCCAGGGCTGCCTCCACCAGCCCCCATGCCCACAGGAACCAGGGACAGAGGCTGCGGATTCAGCCTGCAAACCGACTGCCTGGGCCCTCCTGAAGCGGAGGGCTCTCCGCTAAGAGGCTACTTCTGTCCGCTGGACTCTGTAAAAACAGGGAGCTCCTCACCCATGCACCCCACCTTACAGATCACCAAGCTCTCCTCACTCTCAAGCTCTAGGCTCCTTCTCACCACCCCAGAAGGGAGATAGTGCAGCATTAGTGCTCCCATCTCACAGATGGGGCCGATGAGGCCCAGAGAGGGGGTTCATCCAAGGCCACAAGGGCAGCAGGGCTGGATGTGATCCCCACACGCTCTCACACGGCCCACCCCCTGGGATATCCAGGGCCAGCCTGGGGCATGCCCCATGTGACCTGTGCTTCGGCCCTGTGAGATCCCCACAGGGGACACCAAGGCTCCGGGAGGCTGTGTAGGAGCCTCGGCCACACAGCTGCTGAGCAACAGAATCCAAGTGAGTGCCCTGCGGACTAGAATGGCAGCAGGATAGGGGAGGGGCAGGTGTTGACACATGAGGCCCTGGCAGCCCGTCTGGGTGACCCTCAGGGCAGGTGGCAGGGCCAGGAGACTGGGTGTCTACCTGTTTTCCTGCCCTCAGATAGCAGGACCTGCAGACTGGCCTTGAGCAGGCTGAGAGCTGACGGAGAGACAGCCCCCGCCACCAGCCCAGTTGTTTGTACGCAAGTGGGAGACACAGTGTAAGCAGTGCCAGCTGCCATGGCAGAGGGCAAAGGGCAGGAAGTGGCCCATCTGAGGCCAGTCCCAATGCTAGTCCTGGCCTTCAAGGGAACGGAGCTTAGCGTCTGGTTAGGGGTTGGCTATCTGTCTTTTACGCCCAGCTCTGCCACTCACGGCTGAGACCGTGGGCCAGCCCCTTGACCACGCTGTGCCTCACTTCTGCAACCACAAAATCAAGAGGGTAACTGCCTCATATCTGTGACCGCTCAGGGCAAGGTCTGGGCATGTCCCTGTGGGAGTGGCCAACTAAATGCTAAGGCTACATTAGCAGAAGCATAGAGTCTAGAAGGAAGGAGGTGAGCAGCCTGTTTTGGGCAGGGCAAATACAGCTGGGACTTGGGTTTGATTGCTGAGGCTGCACTGGAGAAGCCAGTACCTTGGGTGCTGAGGGAGCTTGAAGCATGGTGTCTAATGGTAAGAACAGGGACATTCAGACCCATGTTTCCGGCAGAGCATCCGACACAGCAAGTGCCAGTCAGCCATGGCACCTGAGCCAGAAGCCCAGGAGTCACCCTGGACACCTCTCTCCATCCCACATCCAGAGTCCTCAGTCCTGGGTGTCGGCCTCTTAAATTCACGTTTAGATCCCTTCACCACTGTTCGTCTGTATGGCCCAAGCCGTATCATTACCCCAAGGACAGCAGCCCGCCCCGCCCATGCCCCCCATTCACCTCCTCCCTGCTGAGTTTAGGCACCAGGACACATCAGTAAACACAGCGGAAAAGCCCCTTGCCTGGTGGACCTTATGTTCAGGGGCCAACAGACAAACAGCCAAAATACAGAGGACGCCCCATGGCGGCCAGTGCCAAGGAGAGAAACAATGGGGGGGAGCAGGACGCTTGCAGGGGGTGTCAGGGAGACCCCAGAAGGTGACATCTGAGACAAGCATGCTCTCTCAGTCATCGCAGCCAGTTTTACCTGCCCTTTGTCTCCTGAACAAACATGCCCTGACTTGACCCTCTTCCCCGAGGCAGAAATAGAAAACATGCCACCCCACCGTTTGCAGGTCTGAACATTTCCCCCACTCAGCTGTGGGCTTCGGGCAGGCAGGGTGGTGCTGGGTTTGTCTCCACACCCACTGCACCCAGCACAGGCGGGCACCCTGGGGAGGCCAGGTAAATAAATATGTGAGAAAATGAGTCCGTGAACAGATGGAAGGATGGACAGATGGACAGAGGGATAGACGGATGGAGGGAGGAGGGCTGGACAGATGGATGATGAGTGGATGGATGGAGGGACAGAGCGATGGAGGCACGGACAGAAGGACAGATGGAAGGACGGACGGGCTGGCAGGGGCCCCACGAGAAAGAGGTGAGATGGCATTGAAGAACCTGGGACAGGCCACCAGTCAGTCCACACTGTCAGCACCCACACTGTGCTGGGCCCGAACGAGGATGTCCCCCACCTGCCCCCATCACCCCACCCATCCTTTCCACCGAGCGCCCTCTCCTCCCTTCTCCTCCCTGAAGGTGTGCTCCAGGAGGCACTGCTCTCCTGGGTGTCCTGAGCTGCAGACAGCCAATGGTATTAGATGACTTTATTTACTCTTCTATTTTGTATTTTATTATAATTTTTTTTAGATGGAGTCTTGCTCTGTTGCCCAGCCTGGAGTACAGTGACGTGATCTTGGCTCACTGCAACCTGTCTCCTGGGTTTGAGGAGTTCTCCTGCCTCAGCCTCCTGAGTAGCTGGGATTACAGGCACGCGCCACTACATCCGGCTAAATTTTTTTTGTATTTTTAGTAGAGATGAGGTTTTACCATGTTGGCCAAGCTGGTCTCAAACTCCTGACCTCAAGTGATCCACCCACCTCGGCTTCCCAAAGTGCTGGGATTACAGGCATGAGCCACTGCACCCACGGCATTAGATGACTTTAAACAATCATTATTATTCTTGTTAGGTGCAATAATGGTACCAAAGTTCTGTAAGAAAACGGCTGTATTTCTTAGAGTTACAAACAGAAGTACATGGTGGTGAAATGGCATGATGTCTGAAATTTACTTTATCACCATCTGGCAAAAAAGAAAGGAAGAAAGGAGAAAGATCATGAGTATGTGGCCTTTGTTGTAGTCCATGATAAAAAGTAGCAGCCAGGTGTGGTGGCGCAGGCCTGTAGTCCCAGCTACTCAGGAGTCCGAGTGGGGAGGATGACTTGAGCCCGGGAGGTCCGGTGCTCTGCGCTGATTGTCCGATACACTACACTCAGCATCCACACAGCGACCTCCCAGGAGTGGGAGACCCCAGGTCACTTAATAAGAGTGAACTGGTCCAGGCTGGAAATGGAGGAGGTCAAAACTCCTGTGCTGATTAGTAGTGGGATCATGCCCGTGAATAGCCACCACACTCCAGCCTGGGCAACCTCGCGAGTGAGTCCCCCATCTCAAAAAATTTTTAGAAGTAGTAAAAGGGCCAGGCACGGTGGCTCACGCTTGTAATCCCAGCACTTTGGGAGGCTGAGGTAGGTGGATCACCTGAGGTCAGGAGTTTGAGACCAGCCTGGCCAACTTGGTGAAACCCCATCTCTACTAAATATACAAAAATTAGCCGGGCATGGTGGCAGGTGCCTGTAATCCCAGGTACTCAGGAGGCTGAGGCAGGAGAATCGCTTGAACCCGGGAGGCAGAGGTTGCAGTGAGCTGAGATCATGCCATTGCACTCCAGCTTGGGTGAAGGATTAAGACTCTGTTTCAAAAACAAAAATAAAAAACTAGTAAAAGGACAGTAAACAGCGATGGAGCTGCTTGTACCCTGCCCAGCCTCCTTCGTGGCCACCTGGAGGCTAAACTGTAGCCTTGGGCAGCAGGTGCTGGGGGGATCCTGCCTGGTCCAGGGGAGGAGCCCTCAGCCTAGTGTGGGACCCTAGGCGGGTGGCCTGATCTCTCTGGGTCTTGATTTCGGGAGGCGGAGCCCGGAGGAGTCCATTGGAGCCAGCTGGCTACTCCTCGGACAGGCAGGGTGACTGCTAGGAGATCCAGGCCGCCCGCCTCCTCCACCAGCGCACGGAGTCCACGGGATGTGAGACCCAGGCTGCCCTTCCGGGAAGCCTGCGTTGTCCCCTAGGGGGCGGCAGACGTTTCCCCAGCAACCGAGCCGGGTGGGCGCCGCAGAGGGTTTCGGGAGGGAGCCTGCAGGCCCTGCTGGCTGGGCCACACATTCTTAAATGCCTTTTTATTTTTGTAACGAAAGGAATAACTACAAGTTATAGTTATTTTTAATCCACACAGAAGTGATGGAGCCAGCACAGAAAGTGAAAGTGCCAGCACACAGCCTGAGGACCTGCCTGTGGCGATCTTGGCCAGCACTAACCCTTCTTTTCCTTTTTTTCCCTCCTCCGCCTCCATTTTTTTTTTCTTTTTTTTTTTTTTTTTTTTTGAGACGGAGTTTCGCTCTTGTTACCCAGGCTGGAGTGCAATGGCGCGATCTCGGCTCACCGCAACCTCCGCCTCCTGGGTTCAGGCAATTCTCCTGCCTCAGCCTCCTGAGTAGCTGGGATTACAGGCACGCGCCACCACGCCCAGCTAATTTTTTGTATTTTTAGTAGAGACGGGGTTTCACCATATTGACCAGGATGGTCTCGATCTCTTGACCTCGTGATCCACCCGCCTTGGCCTCCCAAAGTGCTGGGATTACAGGCGTGAGCCACCGCGCCTGGCTTTTTTTTT